CCAAGGCCTCACAATGCATGTGGGAGATGAAGTCAACTGGTATCTGATGGGAATGGGCAATGAAATAGACTTGCACACAGTACACTTCCACGGCCACAGTTTTCAGTACAAGGTAAGAGCCATTCATGGTTGTTATTCCTGCTTTATTTGAAAATGTTTTAATATAAATGAAAAAAAATTTCCTCAGAGAGACTTTTGGAAAGTTGAAAGTTTCTAGACAACTAAATTATTTTCAAAGAGTGTGGTACACAGCAATTTCAAGTGCTGTTACTGACCTTTGTTACATGTTGGGCTCTTTCTTGGATTTAGTTTTTACAGGATTCTCATGGGGTTCTGCTCACATATTCCTGGGCAAGGCATCTGAATGGAATTTTTAGCAGAGTAGGAAATGTTCGTGATTGACCAGAGGGTAGAGACAAGACTTTATTATAATCACTGCCTGTTCTAAATTCTGGATCTAACATGGCTTGAAGTGAGTAAGATCATCAGTTTGTTGTAGGCAACTGATTGGTTCATAGATCTCAATACTACATCTACTTCTCACCCAGTACTGCTTTTAGCAGGTGTCAGTAGCACATGTGGAAATGCTTTTTTCTTACCTTTGAGTTAATGTAGAAAATTCAGAAGCTACCATGAAGCACACTGCAGAAAAGGCCATTTTACTACCTGCATTTTGGTTTACACAGGTCTTATATTCTTGGTAGACTTTGGATTCTGCAGAACATCCAAGCATTCTGTGTCTAATTAAGACCCTACCAGAACTGCCCCTGGTTTTGGCTTCTCCGCTAGCTTCCATTTATGCTCCTTCTTCACCTTTTTTGCCCCAAAGTTTCACAGACATGTTAAGCTAGGACTGGTTGACCAAAGTGAGATTAGGGCTGAAGTGGGGCCACAGCTAAGTTCCCTTATGTGACTCCAGTGCTCTGATAAAAAGGCAAACCAGAAGGAAGTGTAAGGGCTAATAGGTAATCCTGATTCCGGAATTCACTCCCATCACCTTTCCTTCAAACCCACTTAAGGGCCTATTCATCGTGCCAAGGTTTTAGCAAGAAAACAAGGACCACATATCTGTTTGTATTACACACAGAAATATGCAGGGTTATCTGTTTTTCCAACATCCCTGAGCTGGCCAATAAAGATTATTTGAATGAACTCTCACACATAATAAACATTATGTAATATTTGTTATTTTTCCAATTAGCACAGGGGTGTTTATAGTTCTGATGTCTTTGACATTTTCCCGGGGACATACCAAACCCTAGAAATGTCTCCAAAAGCAAGTGGAACTTGGTTACTCCACTGCCACGTAACTGACCACATTCATGCAGGAATGGAAACCACTTACACTGTTCTACCAAATAAAGGTGAGTGTCTAGTTAGTAATTCTAGAAGTCATATATCAAGAATATAATTAAGATGCACTACTTTGCCAAATACTTCCCCCAATATGTAACAGTGTGAATTTGTTGTTCTGATTTCCTCTTTTTCTACCACCAAAAGGAATTTTTTTTTAATGCTAAATGGTGTGGGATACTGCTTATCTTCTGTTGGCTGGCACTGATAACAGCACCAATTGTCCCTAAGTTAATAAAAATTGACACTAACCTGATGTAATTATTCCTAAAATTGATAGAAGGGAGTAGTCACATGTTTTTTTGTTACAGAGAAACTAACCATGACTTACAAAAGACACATTTATAATTTAATCTTTCTTAAGAGTAAACATTAACTTTTCTCCTAGGCAGTACCTGGCACACAAGAAAGGCCACTCCCAAAAGCCCCAAATAACCAATATAATTTCAAATAGTCAGGTAGAACAGTGTCTTCCTGTGCTTCCGAGGGAAGAGGAGGAATCACTGATTACTGTTTATCAATGATTACCTTAGTCCTTTCGAGCTGCTACAAAATACCAGACTGGGAAGCTAACAACTGCAATGCATTTTCAGAGTTCTGGAGGCTCAGTGTGAGGTCAGGATGCGAGCATGGCTGGGAGTGGGCCCTTTTCTGGGTGGCAGACTTCTCGCCTGGTGGAAGCGAGAAGCTACCTTTCTAAGGCGTCTCTTATAAAAGCACTAATCCTACCCTCATGCTCTAATCACCTCTCAAAGACCTTACAGCCATGGCATTAGGTTTTCAACATATGAATTTGGGGGGCAGGGGTGACCACAAACATTCAGACCATAGCAAAGGTCCAGGAAAAAACAGAATCTAAATTCCCTGCTCCTCCCACCCCAACATCAGAACTTCTCCCATGCAGACATGTGTGCACGCACGTGTGCACGCACGCACCCACAACCACACCCACACCCCCACACACACACACTATAGAAAAACAGGAACATGATCAGTCCTCTTACAGATAAACACTAATGAAATGTGTTGTATAAACAGTGAAATTTTTGCTTTGTGGTTGCAGGCTTTGGTGTTTCCTGGGTCTTCTGAGTTCAAAATTTTTGTAATTGGCAATGGCAAATCCAACAGGGGGAATTGATGTAGAGAAAACAACTCCTTTTGTTTCCTCCAAAACCCGGCATAAAAGGGAACATATAAATGGAATTAAATATAGAAGTAAATATATTTCAAAAAGTAAAACTCACTGAAAGATTACCATTAGTGCAAATAAAAAGTTTTCATTTTTGCTCTTGGGTCTTTCACAAACATATTATGATGGTCAAATAACCTTTGGAGCAGTCTGAAGGAAAAAAGCTTGCTTAGTTTTAAGTTCCTTGTAGGAAAAAACTGTATGTTCTGTATTTCTAGTAACTACACAAATACAATACAATATTCTGCTTGGTAAATATCTAACAACCACAAGTTAATTCAATGAAAAGGAATTTTTAAGAACTTTCTGGGCACAATGTCAAACTTCTGAGAAGTTATTAGTACAAAAAATTCCATATGCCTTCACCCAGATTCCTCATTACAAGGCCACATTTGCTCTCTCATTCTATCTCCTCCTCTCTCTATATGCAAACACTACCCATATTATAAATATACATATGTACACTCATATTCACTAAAAACAAGGATATTCTCATACAATAACACAATACACCTACCAAATCAGGAAATTAAAAATGATTCAATACTACCTTTTCAAACTTCACTAATTATCTGAATCAGTAATTGAATATTTTATTCAATTATTTTTTCACAGAAAAAGAAAATCCCACTCATGCATTGTGCTCAGCTGCCATGTTTTCTTAGTCTCCCTTGGTCTGGAACAGTTTGTCTTTCAGGACTTTGACATTTTTAAAGAATACAGGGCAGTTACTTTGTAGCATGTCTTTCAGTTTGGGTTTGTCTAATGTTTCCTCATGCTTAGATTCAGATTATGCATTTTTTGGCAAGATTTTCCCAGAAGTGATATTGTGTTTTTCTCAGTACCCATGTCAGGAGCCACAAAAAACTGATTTGTTCCCTTACTGGTTATGTTAACTTTGAGATTTATTGAAGGAAGTGTCTGCCAGGTTTCTCCATTATAAAGTTACTATTTTTCTCTTTATAATTAATAAGGTCATGTGACAAGTAATTTTTCTTAAAATAAAGCAGTACTGGAATGAGAGATGTATTTTTAAAAAGTTAGAAAAATATAAAGATTAAATAAAATAACACTTAAAAATTAGCATACATTTAAAGCATCATGTACTAACTTTTTTAACCATGATATATACAGTAGTCCCCCCTTATCCACAAGAGACGTTCCAAGACCCCCAATGGATGCTTGAAACCATGCCGGTACCAAACCCTATAAATACTGTTTTTTGCTATACACACATGCCTATGATAAATTTTAATTTATAAATTAAGTACAATAAGTGATAAATAACTAACAATGAAAGAGAACAATTATAACAATATACTGTAACAAAAGTTATGTGAATGTGGTCTCTTTTTTCAAAATATCTTATTGTACTGTCCTTGCCCTTTTCCTCTTGTGATGATGTGAGATGATAAAATGCCTCCCTGATGAGATAAAGGGAGGGGAATGACATAGGCTCTGTGACACAGCATGATGCTACTAGTGACCTTCTGACAATACATCAGGAGGATCATCTACTCCCAGACTGTGGTTGGCTGCGGGTAACTTAAAGTGTGGATAAGGGGAGACTATGGTGCTATTTTTAATAATGGTCTTAAAATTTCTTTTTCTATAGAGACCAAGTCTGGCTGAAAGAAATAATTTGGTGATAAGTGAAAAAAAGAAAAAAAAATGATTCATACACACTGTATGTGAAGTGCTGAATAGAATGTTTATTTTTGAATGGCTATAAACATTAAAAAAGAATGAAAACACACTTCTGTGCATCTGTTGGGGAAACGGTATTACCTTGTTTCATATGAAAAGATCAACAGACTATATTATGACTGATCTAATACACTAGGTAATATAATTAATTCACATAAGCCACTCACATCACCACCATTATGGCTTTACAAACTATTCACACACACACGCATGTACATACACACACACACACACACACTATATACATATATATATGTTGTCCTTGATGGTGCTCAAAGGATAAGGACCATTATTAAGATTCACTGAAACGTTTCCAACCATTGGCTTCCCATCAGTTCCTCCAACATGCTGCTGACGTTATTCTTAATGAACCAGTGGGCAAAAGGCACAGGTGTTGAGGAAGTAAAATAAAAAATTAAATTAAAAAATAAAAATGAATTTAAAAATAAATAATAAAAAAAAATTTAAATGACATAAAATAAAAATACCAATCTGAGTTTTGTGAACCCTTGAAGAGATGGTCAAAAGGGTGTTAATCTGAAACTGGAGAAAGGCACAATTTAGAAACAGTTTGATAGGTTAACTTCTGGTGAAGATGAACACTGCCACCAGGGAAAAGTTTCAAAACACAGTTATGGCAGACACTAGGGGAATGGCATTTCCGCCCAGCCTCGACTAAAGTCAAGGCACCCTGTCAATTGGCTGAACTTGGATTCAAAATTTTTAGTAAGAGATTAAAAAGAAGACACAGTTGTGAATACAATGATATATTTATTTACTTTCACATACACTCTAGCTAAAAGAGCAGAAGTACAAAACAAAAAACAGAATCAAGGCTGGCTGAAAAACATGCATTCAACAAATTATGTTAATAGCCACATAAGAAAGTTAGCTTTGTAAACTTCTACTTCATTTGATTCAGAGAGAAACAACATAAGTTTTAAATGTAACAGGAAATTAAAATTTGAATCCCTTACTGTGGGAAACCTTTAACATCTTTCTCAAAGAAAATGGTATTTTTAAAAAGTGACCCAAAAGAGAAATCTGGAAAAATCAGGAAGATTAAATTCTGTGACATTCTTTCAAACATACTTAAAAAATGTTTCCTTGTGTTTCTGGGATGAAAAATATTGTCAAGTCTCCCAAAACAGTGAATTGATGTTCCTCGGAATAAAAACCAGTCTCTACCTTAAAAATATTTGCCTTATTTGAGGAAATTCTTATGTCTTATAGCTTTTTTACATTCTGGACAATTAAATGGATTCAGGTCATAAATTAAGAAACTAATAATACCATTACATGGTAAGATAAGCTGCCTGAAAGCATTTTAATATATGTATATATTCAATTTGAAAATCCTTTATTTTACCTGCTATTGAACTTTAAAAATTCAGTCTCATATGGTATTGTGTTATTTTTCAAATGATACCTTTAAGTCAGTTATTTCTTTCTACTGCAGTAAAGAAGGTATGGCAAGAAAAATGCTACAGTGCCATCTTCTGGGAGGACATTCAAGAAATCCCTTAGTTCTAGTTCCACAGCAACAGTTGACAATGTTTCTGTTGGTAGGAAAGAATATCTGAATTAGAACTGAAAGACTGTTTTTTTTTTCATCCAATCTCCTATCACTCAACCAATTAGAAGTTAGTTCAGGTAACAAAATGTTACAACTACAAAAGAAAAATAAATCTGTCTCATAAATCCATAGGCTACTTTATGGTTTTAGTAGTTTCTTATTAATTCCTTCTAGAATGCTTTGAAGTTTATATTAGTTCCATGCAATCTGAATTCACTATTTCATTGCTGGATTATTACATTTAAAAAAGATACACTTCTATTACCCTCTAAAGAAAAACACAATCCTTGAATACTATTTTTAATGTTAGGACTATACTGCAGCTAATTTATAAATATTGTTTGCTGGGCCAGAAAATGCTATTAATGGCTGGATGACATTTTCCTCTATCAGTTATTCCCTATTATGAGATTTTCATGTTAGTAATAAGCATAGATCTGCTTTTATGACCACTTGTTTTTTCTTCCACAACTGCATTCTAGTGTACATCTTCAATATTAAGGAATTTGGTAAACCTTTTTGTAAAGGTAACTATGCAATTTTATTATTCTATTGATCTTTGCTACATACATGCTGCCCTCTGCTGGGAAAATAAGGGATAACACTTAAAAACAATTTAAACAGTTCAGTGCCATTCCCTGTGTGATGCTGGCATGGTCACTGCTTTATTCCATCTACTGAAATATAAAAATTCCTGCTCAGGTCTGTGTGCACTGATCCAAAGCCATCTGTCCAATATTCAGCAAAGTAAAACATCCTTAACACAAAGTAAGGACTTCCCCTTTTTGCTAGAATGTTAATAAATGGAGCAGGAGCCATGTATGGGAAAGACCCCTAGCTCTGGAATCAGACACTCAGGCAGGGATTGGACTCTTCTACCTACTTTCCAGGTGACTTTAACTTCCTAAGTCCTCCTTTCCTCATCTACAATGTAGTGGTACCATCTTCTAGCTTCTAGAGTCCTTTGAGAATTAAAATACTGCACATCTGATAAACTAAAGAGTCTTGATAGTTTTCAAGAGGCATGTAACATGAATTATCAATGCTTTCCTATCAAACCACTTTATCTAGCCAAAATATGGTGCCTAAAAGTAGTATCCTAGATACAAAAATGTGAGTTAGAGGGCTAGTATGGAGAGATTATAGATCCAACAAAAATCTCGCCACTGCCTAATTCTCCTCTTCTGCCAACCAGTGAGGAGCTAATTCAGGTTGTAATTCCAAGAAAAACATCAAATCTTAAATCTGTAAAGTACTTCAAATCCTCCAAAGTGTTTAGAAAATATTCATCAAATGTTGAACTGTTATTTCTGGCTGGTGGTATTTTTTTAAATGACTTTTTCAACTTTATTTTTGTAATTTACTACATTAGAAGAATTGTTAATAATAAGCAGAGTTGGGGGCGAAGCCAGGATGGCGGTGTGAGTACAGCAGTGGATATCTCCTCCCAAAAACACATAGAGCTATGAAAATATAACAAAGAAAATTTTCCTAAAATAGAGACCAGAGGACACAGGACAACATCCAGACCACATCCACACCTGCAAGAACCCAGCGCCTTGCAAAGGTGGAGAGGAAGGCCACAAACCAACAGGAAGGGAAGCTCTTCCAGCAGTCACTCGTACCAGGTCTGCAAACTATCTCTATCACCATGAAAAGGCAAAACTACAGGCAGACAAAGATCACAGAGACAACACCTGAGAAGGAGACAGACCTAACCAGTCCTCCTGAAAAAGAATTCAAAATAAAAATCATGAACATGCTGACAGAGATGCAGAGAAAAATGCAAGAGCAATGGGATGAAGTCCGGAGGGAGATCACAGATGTCAGGAAGGAGATCACAGAAGTGAAACAATCCCTGGAAGGATTTATAAGCAGAATGGATAAGATGCAAGAGGCCATTGAAGGAATAGAAGCCAGAGAACAGGAACGTATAGAAGCTGACATAGAGAGAGATAAAAGGATCTCCAGGAATGAAACAACACTAAGAGAAATATGTGACCAATACAAAAGGAAAAACATTCGTATTATAGGGATACCAGAAGAGGAAGAAAGAGGAAAAGGGATAGAAAGTGTCTTTGAAGAAATAATTGCTGAAAACTTCCCCAAACTGGGGGAGGAAATAATCGAACAGACCATGGAATTATACAGAACCCCCAACAGAAAGGATCCAAGGAGGACAACACCAAGACACATAATAATTAAAATGGCAAGGATCAAGGACAAGGAAAGAGTTTTAAAGGCAGCTAGAGAGAAAAAGGTCACCTATAAAGGAAAACCAATCAGGCTAACATCAGACTTCTCAACAGAAACCCTACAGGCCAGAAGAGAATGGCATGATATACTTAATGCAATGAAACAGAAGGGCCTTGAACCAAGGATACTGTATCCAGCACGACTATCATTTAAATATGATGGTGGGATCAAACAATTCCCAGACAAGCAAAAGCTGAGGGAATTTGCTTCCCACAAACCACCTCTACAGGGCATCCTACAGGGACTGCTCTAGATGGGAGCACCCCTAAAAAGAGCACAGAACAAAACACACAACATATGAAGAATGGAGGAGGAGGAATAAGAAGGGAGAGAAGAAAAGACTCTCCAGACAGTGTATATAACAGCTCAATAAGCGAGCTAAGTTAGGCAGTAAGATACTAAAGAAGCTAACCTTGAACCTTTGGTAACCACGAATCTAAAGCCTGCAATGGCAATAAGTACATATCTTTCAATAGTCACCCTAAATGTAAATGGACTTAATGCACCAATCAAAAGACATAGAGTAATAGAATGGATAAAAAAGCAAGACCCATCTATATGCTGCTTACAAGAAACTCACCTTAAACCCAAAGATAAGCATAGACTAAAAGTCAAGGGATGGAAAAACATATTTCAGGCAAACAACAGTGAGAAGAAAGCAGGGGTTGCAGTACTAATATCAGACAAAATAGACTTCAAAACAAAGAAAGTAACAAGAGATAAAGAAGGCCACTACATAATGATAAAGGGCTTAGTCCAACAAGAGGATATAACCATTCTAAATATATATGCACCCAATACAGGAGCACCAGCATATGTGAAGCAAATACTAACAGAACTAAAGAGGGAAATAGACTGCAATGCATTCATTGTAGGAGACTTCAACACACCACTCACCCCAAAGGATAGATCCACCGGGCAGAAAATAAGTAAAGACACACAGGCACTGAACAACACACTAGAACAGATGGACCTAATAGACATCTATAGAACTTTACATCCAAAAGCAACAGGATATACATTCTTCTCAAGTGCACATGGAACATTCTCCAGAATAGACCACATACTAGCTCACAAAAAGAGCCTCAGTAAATTCCACAATATTGAAATTCTACCAACCAATTTTTCAGACCACAAAGGTATGAAAGTAGAAATAAATTCTACAAAGAAAACAAAAAGGCTCACAAACACATGGAGGCTTAACAACATGCTACTAAATAATCAATGGATCAATGAACAAATCAAAATAGAGATCAAGGAATATATAGAAACAAATGACAACAACAACACTAAGCCCCAACTTCTGTGGGATGCAGAGAAAGCAGTCTTAAGAGGAAAGTATATAGCAATCCAGGCACACTTGAAGAAGGAAGAACAATCCCAAATGAATAGTCTAACATCACAATTATTAAAACTGGAAAAAGAAGAACAAATGAGGCCTAAAGTCAGCAGAAGGAGGGACATAATAAAGATCAGAGAAGAAATAAACAAAATTGAGAAGAATAAAACAATAGCAAAAATCAATGAAACCAAGAGCTGGTTCTTTGAGAAAATAAACAAAATAGATAAGCCTCTAGCCAAACTTATTAAGAGAAAAAGAGAATTAACACAAATCAACATAATTAGAAATGAGAATGGAAAAATCACGACAGACTCCACAGAAATACAAAGAATTATTAAAGACTACTATGAAAACCTATATGCCAACAAGCTGGAAAACCTAGAAGAAATGGACAACTTCCTAGAAAAATAATAAGCAGAGTTATTATCCCAAGAATGGTAACAAATATTTCCTGGAAACAAGCCAGCCACTAAGTCCAGTTTCAATGGCTCTGCATTAAAGTAATACAGGTTCTAGACTAGTACAATTATACCCCCCAGAGGATATCTAGTAATGTCTGGAGATACTTTGTTATAACTGAGACAGTGCTTGCTTCTGGTGTTCAGTGGGTAAAGGCAAGGGATGTTGCTACACATCCCAAAATGCACAGGGACACCAACAAAGACACAAAAGAATTATTCAGTCCAAAATGTTAGTACCAGGAATGAGAAATGCTGTGTTAAGAGAGGTAAGAAACCCAAGCTCTAAAGCATATTCTGTAAGTACCTGATCTCCATCTCCAACCTTACCATCTTGCAATTTTGCCTAAAACTTTATTCTAGAGTCAATCCTGAACTTCTTATTAGTCCCAGGGTATTAAAAAATCAGCTTGCTTCATGTCACTCCGTAAGTAGTAGACCTGGAACACATTTCTAATCCGGGTCTCTTCTTGGTATACACCTGCTGCCGACAGAAGACCTCCCTTGAAAATGGACCTGAAGTTATTCAGGTGTCCCCCTCTCAAATCATTCAGTAGTTACACAGTGCTTTCTATAGAGAGGCATAGTGCTGGTGAGGAGGAAGGATACAACATTCAAAATGAACAAAGCACTACACCAGCTCTCAAGGTATGACAGTCTATAAGGTAATCACACACAGCACTTCATCCCATGAGCCACACACACACACACACATATATATATATATATATATATACATGTGTGTGCACACACACAAATATGTTTTGAAGATACAGAAAATGGAACATTTGGAGGAATGATTAATGGGTAAATTTGGGGTAGAGAGGCCATGGATGTGAATCAGAAAAGGATAAAGAAAGAATCTTCTGACTAAGATAATGTTGCTACTCAAGTCTAAGATCTGGGATGTCTACACTGGAAAGCGATCAACTAACACAAATCATCAGTTCCAAATTACATGATAAATTTGATGCAAGTGAAGCAGGGCAATCAAACACCTGACATTTCCATCTCTGAAAACCAAAAATTCACTCAAGGAGATGGGTAGGACAAAAAGTTAGAATAGTCACCTCCACATCCTCCCAATCACAAATATTATTTAAACCACAAACAACTTTATTTAAATGCACATCTTCAGAAAAATACCCACCAACAGCTACTGGATCTGCCTAAATACTTCAAAAATTAGTTACCTCAGCTAGAAAATATACCTCCAACACTAATGTCCATTTCTAATATTTTATGCACACTTTAGTCAATATAACCACAACCTTTGTCATCAGGTCAACAATTAACTAGTGATATTAACGTACAAGAGTAGAGAAATTGATAACCATTATGCCTATCAATATTTATAGATGACTATGAATTATGAAAATTGAAACAATAACAACCTATGCTTTAGATACTACACAACTTAGAGACACTCACCTTTTAAATCCTTGAGAACCTCTCATTCCTCAATACCTGCTTACAATTCTGATTAATAATAATCTCAATTTCCTACATGAAGCAAATTAGGTACTCAGATCATCAATAAAAAATGTAATTGTCTTAATGGCTATTCAAATTTTTTAGATTCTGAGGTGGATTTTCTTGACAGTGATAATTTGTCAAATGTTTGAAAAGATTAACTTAAAAGCATCAGCTCTATAGCTATAAGAGATAGATAACTATCTCATGTGATGGGGAAGTATATGAATGCTGAAAATAAGCTCTCTAGATGATCCTGCTAAGACCCTCTTCACCTTACTTGAGAATCAAAGGAAAAAGCTGAAAGCAAGTCTTCAGCTTTGAATCAAAACTAAAACTAAAACTCTTAATTAAATTTATAATCAAGCACAAAGTATCCTTTTACCTTTTAATGATGACAGGTAAAGATGGTATTTCTCTCCACCGCATTTTATTCTCTGACAAAGTTCAGGCAGCAGTTTTTTCCACCACAAAGTCTATCTTAGGAGAAAATGAATCAATTTTAAGTTTGATGCATTTTATATTCAGATTTCCAACAAGAATAAGTCTGTACAGGGAAAGCACAGGGCAATAATAATACATCCTTTTGGTTAAAGGTCAAACTTTGTTACAATAGAAGTCACATCAATAAACAGCCAGTCTTCTGCTTAAACTGTAACATAAATTAAATCTCTATCTTGAAAATCTAATGACATGCCTATTATACATATGTACACGGTCATTTTAAAGAGGAAACATAGACATGTTCTGCTTTCTCCTAGGTGGAAGGAAAGATGGAAAAAAAAATACTAAATTCTAAAACTTCTAATTTCTAAAGACCACATAGCCCAGAAAACATTTTCCCATCATACATTATGTTTCCCAAATCTTTGGGTAATAACTTACTTGTCCAAACAAGAGATGTCTAACGGAGATAACACGCCATCCAACCATACATTTTAACAGCCTCTAAGTCAAAACACATATTAAGCCTACGTTCTTATTTGACCTACACAGCCCTATGAGGCTGGACTGGCATAATTTGTTCCCATTTTGTAGAAAAGGCAACAAGATTATCAAATCTGATTATCACTGATCAAGCCTAAAAGACATAATCTGAAAAGCATACCCGATTCTCTTCTTTCAGTTCATAATTAGCATATGGAATGATTGCCTCTGGGCATCTCTCTAAGAGCGTGTCTATGCACTGTTCATACTCTTTCAAACGTGTACGACACAGAACACGGACACTGAGGCCAGCAACTGTGTCTTCTGACAGTGGCTCCAAGAATGGAATAATGGAAGCTATGTCAAATGAAGGACTGCATATAAGAGACTATGAACAGAAAAGTGAAACGTTATGAAATGAGGCACCCGAAAGACTAAAACACAACATACAGAATACAATTTTTTAAAAAGGCTAACTTAATTTGCCCAAAAAAGGAAAGATAGGAAGAGCACAACCTTAGAGCATGTGCATATGCTATTTTTTTAATAAGTCTAAGTAAAGTATTAATAATCTTAAAACCACCTGTAATTTAAAGAATAAAAATCTATTTAATAGAAATCAATCATTATTAAAGTAACATGACTTTACTATAGAGAGACCACAAAGTAAAACTAGCAGGACAGCTTTAGGATTCTACCCTATGGAAATAAACAACACTGTAGTCAAGTGATTTGTGTCCAAGGATGTTCACCACATAAGTATTTATAATACTGAAAAGCTAGAAGTAAAAAGCTAGTAAAAAGTAATCAAGCATTAAACAAGGGATGAGTAAATATATCATGACCAGTCACATGAAAGAATATTATATAGCCATCAAATGGTTTTCAAAGGCTAATGAGCAAATGCTCATAACAAAATGATGAGTAAAAGAATCTCAACACAACATATTCAAAGTATGATCAGTTTTGCAAAATCTACACACGTACATGCACATTAGAAATGCCTTGGAAAAGTACTGAAATTTGAAACAGAGATCAGTTCACTGGATGGGATGACAAAGCCCACATTTTATTTCTTTTTCATACTTTCCTATATTTTCCAAATTTTCTATGATAAGCATGTACTACACATATAACCAAAAATAAAACTTAACATATAAGGAAACGAAAGCATTTTAAGAACCTAATAATTTGTATTAATACTATCTGCCACAAGCTGAGAAACATAAGCAGGTACTATTTCAATATTGAGAGCTTTATCAATATTTTACTTTTAAGCATTTAAACTATAAATATTACTTTTGATTCTACCACCAAAATAATCTCTGCTTTCCCTTTCTTCTGGACAAAGGTGAGATGGTTGTATTCTGATTTCTCTTCTGTTATCCTTTTTCCTACAGCATCTTCTCACACTCATAGGAGGATATGGAACATGAATTATCCATTTATAGTCAGCGTAATTATTTTATTCCAAATTTCTACCAAGGAATGGCTAGGAGAATAAGGTTGGTCTCTTCCTTTATGGCAAGTTTAATAGTCACTTTTATTGGAATGATTTCCTGACAGTAAGACAGGAACATGAGATCTTACCAAATTTAAGCCTTACACTATATCAAAACATGCATATTCATAAGAAAAAGAGGCATTTTTATTTACCTGTAATTTTGAAAGGTCTTCTGTATAATTTTGATCAGCTAAGGAATTGGATGATATTAAGACATTAACCCATGGAGAGATTAAGCCATAATGACTACAGGCATTTATCTAAAATGTAAAGAGAAAGGTATCATAAACAAAATACAACAAAATAAAACTCTTCATCTACTCCACAAAAAGCAAATAACTGCTAATCCTCTGTTATGTCACAGAATTAGGTATACACTTGCCTGGGAATGGGAAGAAATGTTTTTTACAGTATATGCCCCTAGAAAAAATTTCAGCCTTGCTACTACTCACTGAATAAATCTTCACAATTTCCTTATATTTTAAATTTTATAATATTTATTTTTAATTTTTAAAATATTAAATTGAGAATTAATGCAATTTCTAGCAAAAAAAGAGCAACATTGCTGTTAAGTTAATTATACAAAAAAAGTTTTAACAGTAATATTGGAAATAATTTTTATTTCTACTACTTTCCTTGGTAGGCAAAAGCTCTTCTGTTTAAGTTTGCAAGACAATTTCCATAAAGCCCCCTTATTCAAGAAGTTGGTGACTTTTCCAGTGAACCCCCATTAGCTGTGGCATCACTGAAAGGAGAGTGGAAGGGAGCAGGAAGGGTGAAGGCAGAGCCGCGAGGGCTGCCTCACGGGCTCCTGAACAATCCTGCGTGTGCAGCTGACAGGAAATGGGGTCTAGCGAGGAAATCTCTCTCCCACACGCTGTCTGCAGTTCCTCTCCCATCAGAAAGGTCTGCAGATGTCTCTTTTCTCAAGTTCTACTTTGCGGCTATCCCCTGAGGGTGTACAAGCATGTTTGGGGAGGGCCCCTGCCCCCAGGCTCTGGAAACTGAGGTACCAGTTTCCCTGTAAGTAATACAGGGGCAGTAGGGGCCATATTTTAGAAAATAAAATTATTTAAAATGTAGGCAACTTCGCTCATGGGCAAGTTTTTTGTGTATTTTTAATTTCTGCTTAAGATATCTGCATATAAATTAGGTTTAATTCTAAGCCATAAAAATATGAAGGCCCATTTATTGTAAGGTGAAATGTACGTTTAATTGAATATTATTCTATTTCTTACCAGATCCTCTGATGTCCGCAGTGGTATGGTATCAGGGGGCTGCCTCTTAGATAACCTCCAGATGTACTGTGACGTCAGCTTGAAAAAGAGCTCCTGAAGTACCACGTCTGGGAGGCATGCCACAAGCTGAGCTTCCCAAAAGTCTACCAAGAGCTGAGGAATCCTATCTTCATCCTTATCACAAAGCACCTTGACAACAGAGAAATCAGCCCCCATATCCCAGATAAATACAGTATTGATCAAGTTACAGCTGGTCTGAATAGCACTCCATTAACATTTAATAATTTATCATTAGCATTAGTGTTGTGCCAAAGCATATTTAGACAAGCAGGAAATCTAGGTCCTATGGTGTTTTTCTAGACATTCTTTTAATCTGTACTTTTATAAACTGGTTATGTTTAAGTCTGCTTTTTCAATAAACAAGTGAAAATAAGTTTTTTCTTCTGCTCCTGCCCCCAACCAATTTTATCAGGCCATCCAGATCAATTTTCAAAGTGACAAACCTTAAAGAAGGAATCTGCTTCTTCAATTCCAATTTTGTTGTTTTTCTGTAAGCCCAGGACTGAAGCCACAAGCAATCCAGGCTGAGCCTCCTTTAAGTGAAATGCAAACTCAGTTGGAACAATCTGTCCCTTCCTGTGTTGAATTAACAGCTGAGGTTCCAGAATGAAGCCACATACGAACTTCATCTTCACATAAAAAAGAAATTTAGGAACAAAATGTGTATGTACATATATATCCTGGAAATACATGCTAGTATTTTCAAGATTCATGATTAAGCTATTAAAAATTTATTTTATTCTCAATTTTTTTCTGTAACTACAAAACAAGTTCTCCTTCTAAAAAAGACATCATTGCTAACTGTCTTCACAGAAGGTAATGATATTTTATTAAACATCAAGATGTCTTATTTTTGTAGAAAACATTATATTAGGTCTATATTTAAAAATAACATAACCTTAAGGTTTTTCAAAATCATGGAAAGAAAATACATCTTTCTAGAATTCTACTCTTCAGAGGACACCTCAATGTTGACTTTCTTCATTGTACAAACAAAATGTGTCACCTGTATAGTGATAAAGCACTTGTAATCTTCTTTTTTAGAAACTGAAGTCATACTGTAGGCATTTTTACCAGTCAGGCAACAAAACAGTGTAGGATACAGGATCTGAAGCCAGACTGCTTGCTTCAAATCCTGGCTCTACTACTTACTAGCTGTGTAATCTTGGACAAGTTATTTAACCTCTGTCTTAGTTCTCTCATTTGTATCATCAGTGTAACAGTAGCATCTACCTTAGAGCATTATTGCAAGAATTAAAGAAGATAACATATACAAAGGGCTTAGAATAGGCCTGAGACACAGTAAGTGCTGGATTAATGTTGCTTCTTAGTTTCTTCCCTAATGATAACATCTTTGGCTCATGTCCCTAAATGACCTCTTACAAGAGAAAGCTACCTTTTCTTTGATACACCATTCAAATGCCTAATCCTCCATACTGTCATTTGCAATTTTCACAGGCATTTCTGCAACTAGCAGACTCCTAAGGCTCACAGCTAATATCCCACTTCCTGTACTTGAATACACATCACTGTTCTGCTTTCAGTGGGCACACAACCATCTCTTCCTTGTCAGATCAGATTGTCAAATCGAGGCACTCAATTCTTGAGTGAGAAGGACCATGCACTGAATGCATATGACACTATGTTGAAAGGCTTTTGGATACCCATTGCTGCCATTTATTGTTCTTATTTCCATTTGTCAGATCCAAAGTCCAAAGGGCTCCTGCTTAGGGTCACTTCCTTTTTAATATTAAGTTTATTTTCCTTTATAACTAATGAGCCAGACAGAAGCCAGGAGAGAGCTAAGCACCTCAGGACTACTTGGTCCTATTTCATTTAGTCATTGTTAATACCAAGCAGGGCACTGTACCTCTGAATGGCTTTTCATCTCATTTCTGTGCATGTCGAGATCTCCCATTTTCAGAGCCATTGATGCTTTGGTCAGTGTCACTAAGATCGAGGAAAACCCAGAAGTATCCAGCTTCCTTAGATAGTTCATGGCAGTTAAAGGATTAATATTCTTCATAGAAGGACTACAGAGAACATGGGGTAGTTGCTTTGGCTCAGCCACATGAAACATCTGAGCCACTTTTGCTGCTAATTCCTTTGGTGAGCACAGACAAGAAATAAAAGGTCAGTCAGCCAATAGCAATAAAAATCAGCAACATATGTATATATATATATATATGTAAAGTCAACACATAAACATTCCAATTAAGATAAAATAATATATGTCTTGATTTAAAAAGACAGAGTTGATAATAATGTGGGAGACCTGAGATAATCTAATGTGACCTCTTTGCCAAGTTACAATGAAGAAAAAGTAGTGAAAATTGTAGCATGTTGTGCCCAGCATTTTCTAATTTTAAAAAGAATTTAGAGGAAGAAAATAAATATTAGATTAAACTAGACTCAAAAGTCCACTATAAAAAATTAATTTAATATAAAATATATTAATGAGGCAATTTATATGAGAAAATTTCATTTCTCTCCAAACCTTGAAATATTTGGTATCACAGTATCGAACTTGGAATACCTGCACTCGACTCTTTCAAAAAATGAGGGGCTAAAAATAATCCTTAATAATGTTTTAAGGTCACTGGGTGAAGATGTCATCAATGAAGCTTTGGACACTTAAGAGAGTGGGGAAACTAGGGTTGTGGAAAGAGCTGCAGATCAGAAGGCAGAGAAGGCCCGTGTTTTGTACCATTCTCCTAAAGACATGCCAGTGTCATACTGGGCAGGCCACTCACCACAACAGACCACATTTCTCCATGTATATAATAAGAAAGTCTGAGAAGATGATTATAAACTTTTGTCCAAGCTATAAATCTATGAGTATTAATGAGGAAAAGGACCACATTAGTGCCGTTTTTAGGAAAAGAATACCAAAGAAATATTTGGAACTTGTCTTCTGAACAGTAGTATTACATAAAATAAATTGCTAAAATGAAAAGTCAGAAATATTAGATAAAACTAAATAGAAAACTATATTCACTTCACTTAATTCTTCATCCAGGTTTTCATAAAGTGAATGACTAATGTAAAAGATTAATCCCCTTTCGTATTTCTGTGATCCATCCTCTACTGACCAGTCCACTCGAGCCAAAACTTCAGCCATAGACAAACCAGACATCTTATAGTATGGCAAGGCAAGGTGCGAGTGCTGGGTGTCAAGCCTAAAGAGAAGGAAGTAAAAAAACCCTCAAATTCACCATTTTTAAGCCTGGATGTCTAATATATTTGATAAAACATATCATGCTTTCCTGAAGACATAAATCTCAAAAATACTTTACTACTGCCATTAATAGCTGGAACAAACCCCAAAGTGTTCTTCTGTAAAATCACTCTCACTAGTGTAGTTTCTTTCTGCCTGCTCATAATAAAAATAGAAAAACAATAAAGTGAATTTTAATATTCATAATATGGCTCTAAAGTAATGGTACTTATATGTAGAAGTCTGTCTTGTTAATTTATAACCATTCCCATAAAAACAAAGCAAAACAGGAGGAACAAACAGCAGTAGACTCATATAGACACTGAGAAGTGACTGGTGGTTACCAAGGGGGAGGGGTTAGGATGGGTTGTGGCGGAGGGGAAGGGGTATAAGGGGAACAATACTTTGCAATCACAATATAAGTTGGTCATAGGGACAGTAGTACAGCATGGAGAATAGTCAGTGATTCTGTAACATCTTTCTACATTAATAGATGGTAATTACACTAGAGGGAGTGAGGATTTAACAATACGGGTAACTGTAGAACCACTCTGTTGTACATTTGAAACAAACTTAAGATTGTGTATCAAGGATACTTAAAACTAAAACAATTCCCATGGTTCAAGTAAGCCTTTGAAATAATCATATATAAAAAAATTTCTAAACATCATTCTCAAAAATGTTCATCCTAGTGTCCTTTTCTGACATAAAAGCATTGACTGCTAAGTTTAAACTCCAGGCTGTCTAACTGGACAGTCCCTTAAAGCTAACAGCAATAAACTAGTATTATGCTATCTCAGGAATATTTTCACTGGTCATGAGACTCCCCCAAAGTTTGAAAAGAAACTTCAAATCCTAAATGAAGTGGTGGGAGACTCACTGCTCATCACCTCAAGTGTAAGTCCTTTAAGGCATGGAGCAGATCATGTTCAGCTGTTGTCTCTAAGCTTAGCACAATACTGAGCACACAGTATGTACCCAACAAATGTTCGTGGAATAACTGAATAAATGAACCACCTCCCCTCAGACATTCCCCCATTTATCAGGTAGCTACCAGAGATGGAAAAGCTAGTAAGTACAACCAAAGCCTAAGATGACTTCTTTAGTAAGATTCCCAGAAGCATCACCAACCGGCTGTAACAGTCTCCAAGGTGCCCACAGCTTTCTTTAAATGCTTCTAGAAGCTCTGCTTTTTCTCCAGGTTCCAACTGACTGGCATCCATCAGAGCAGCTCTCACTAACAGATGAGCCTCGCTAAGTAGGTGGATACAGCTCTGGGTTTTTGCATTTTTGTAGGTATTACTGTAGTCTACCTAAAACAAAAAAGGCACAGCTAATGTTGGGGTGGAAAGACTCCCTAAAAGTTTTCCAGTTCTTAATAATATCTATATATTTTGTTAGTAAAGCTAATATTTGGACATATTAAATCCTGAAAGAAAAAGTGATTATCATTCTGATAAATTCTAACTGAAATTTTTTTTCCTCCCCACAATCTAAGAGCCAGTTTAATACATACTTGACTATAAACACTTCCTTTGCTAAACAGCAATAATCATTAGAAAAGGTACAAATAATACTGTAATACTAATAACACTATCAACTTAGCAGTATTTGGTCACAACTGATAAGGCTAACAAATACATCTGAAATAAATTTTTTTTAACTTCTGCAATTTAAATCTTTCTCAAATTCAGACTGAGTATCCTTCCTTTCAGTTTCAGTTGGTGAGTTTAAGTTCTACTAAACCTATTTCCATAACTCACAGTGGGCTTATAAAAATTATCACTAACTAATATGGGTCAGTACTTTCAGACTCCAATAGGCAAATCATCAATATGAAGTTTAAGACTATATAAATTAAGCAAGACTAAAAAGACAGAACAAAACTGATATAATTATCAGTATTAAAATGCCAGGGACAAATCAGGCAAAATCTTGACTTGATGATCAAAATTCATACCACCAATGAGGATATATAAATGGATATCACATATCTTCCAATCTAACACCCTCAGAAAGACACATTACCCATGCAGTATTCTGTAGAGAAAGAGAATACACAACCTGGATCCAATCATGAAAAAAAATAATAAATTTTTAAGGTAGAGGAGGGAAAATATATTTTTCAAAATATCTGTGTTGTAAAAAATAAACCAAAAAGTTTATGAACATATTCCAGATTAAATGAAGCTAAATAGACATGACAATTAAATATACTACCTGATGCTAGACTGGACTTTGGACTGGAGTGGGGAAAATGTTATTAGGCTGTTCATTATTGGGTCAATTGACAAAATTGGAATATGAACCACAGACTAGATAAAGTCCCATATTAATATTAAATTTACTGAAGGATATGACTATACTGGTTGTGTAAGCCACTGTGATTATGTAAAAAAAAATCCCAATTCTTAGGAAACATGCAGTGAAGTATTTAGAGGCACTAGGCTATGATGTATGCAATTTACCTTTTAATGGATCGGAAAAAAAACTACAACTGTGTGCTTATGGTTGTGTTTAGAAAGTGAGAAAGAAAAAGAGGGAAGCAAAAGGGGTGACATGTTGAGTTCGGGTGAATCTGTACAGGGAAAACACAGGTTTTATTTCCATTATTCTTATTCTTGTAACTTTTCTATAAGTTTGAAATTACTTCAAAATAAAGAGTTAAAAAAAATTACCAGAGATGAGTAGGCAGCTGTCACTCAGAGAAAAGGAATACAAATGCCCTACCCACAGAACAACGCTGAGCGGCTGCAGTGCCCTGGGACTATCTGCTAATATTTCCAAGGAGACTGAGATAGGGGTAAATGTTGTAAGTTTTCTTTCAGCTCCATTTCACGGTCCAAAGTAAGGATCAAAGCCTATTTATGTTTAAACTGGTTAATCAATTCTCTTGGGGGTGAATATGAGTAAGAGAGTCTTATTTTAGTGAAAGGAATATCTACTGGCTCCTCAAATGTCAGAGGCTGTGAAAACAAGAGAACAAGCTGTGGAGAAAGATACCCACTTCACTGTCATACAGAGCTTGGAAGCAGGTTGGCTGTGGCACTCTGAATGTATGATAATTAGAATTAATACCTGGTCATCAATTCCACTCTAAATATCTACAAACAAGAATCATAAGTTTGAAAGGAGTACCATTTCTCTGTACAGTTGCACTGGTGAGATAGTATTCACAATATACAAATTCCACCCAGCCTCAGCTACAGGAGGTGTTTTGAGCTTAACACTGGCACCTTTTCTAGAACTAAAAGCAAAACAAAGGACAAGCATTGTTAAGAGAAGACATATTATTAATAAATGGCTATTTAAAATGGTAAATAATGAGTACCTAAAATAATATAACTATGAAATCATTTTCATTCAGTATTCTCTTCAGTGATCAAGATTTTTACAGAACATTAATTCACAGTGCTGTATAGACCTATAGAATTTAATATTTGAATCTCATATACTGATAAATCAATTGATTCCAATCCACTTTACAAGTATTCTTAAATGGGTAATACACTCAAAGAACAGGTAAGACCCCTCAAAAGAGAGAGAGCTGGCTGTGAAAGCCCTTATGCCTAGTATTTCTCTTGTATGTGGCTTTCCTGAGTCCAGCTATGCCCAATGTCACAAGTCTGATCAGAAGTTCCAACAGAATAGGCAAAACACTCATGGCTACTGAGGAAATACAGAAGACATATTTAACCGTGAGTCTCAAAGCACTATCTGTTCTCATGCTTTCACTATGTGGTGCATTTTCTTTAGTATATTATGTTTTTGAAATGTGGACCTTTGACCAAATGAATGCCCAAATAAATAAAGACTTTTTTAAAAACCACTTAAAAAAATACAATACTTCTAAAATGTCAAATGTGCATTACAAATTGTTTTCCCTCTTGCCAGAACCTTTACTCTCTGATTTTTCAGTTTCAGACTACTCCTAACTGAGCAGTTACCCAAGTCAACCTCTGATTTTTCCTCTTCACGGAACAAAGACCAGGCACAAACAATGTGAAAAAGCAAAATCTATGTTAAAAAGAAAAACTTATATTTGACTTGAAATACAAATCTTCCTGGTTTACAATGGGATTATGTCCCAATAAATCCACTGTAAACTGAGAATATCATAAGCTGAAATGCGTTTAATATACCTAACCTACTACACATCACAGCTTAGCCTAGCCTACCTTAAATGTGCTCAGGACACAAACATTTAGCCAACAGTTGAGCAGAATCACTTAACACAAAGCTTATTTTATAATAAAGTGCTGAATATCTCACATGTAATGTATTGAATACTGCACTGAAAGTGAAAAAAACAGAATGGTTGTGTGGTTACAAATGGTTGCAAGTGTATAGGTTGTTTACCCTCATGATGATGGGGCTGACTGGGAGCTGCACTCGCTGCCCCAGGCCAGCATCACCCGAGTATCATACCGCATATCACTAACCCAGGAAAAGATCAAAATTCTAAATTCTAAGTATGGTTTCTACTAAATGTATATTGCTTTTTCACCATCGTAAGGTTAAAAAATCTTAAATTGAACCAATACAAGTCAGGGACTATCTGTATACTATATGCTTCTCTCCCTGCAAAGATCTTTTCCCCCCAAAGATTAAATTTCACAAAAAGGAATGTTTAAATTAGATTGCATTCTCTATCACTAAGTTCACAATAAGAAACCGACAAGCAGAAGCATAACTAGTCCCGAATTAAGTACTCTATTCTAAATAATGTGTGAGTAAAAAACTCCAAGAGTCAACCAGAGATTAACGTTGTGAAAATGCAATTTTATTTTAAGGTAGATTGGCACATATCTGTACACCATGAATATGCTTTAAGATAAGAAATACACTGTAAATTTCTTTTGCATTGAATTACCAGGAAATAACTTAAAAATGTAACTACTGAAAGGTCAAAGGAAAACAGTAAAGAGCCCCATAGTTTTGGATTGGCATTAGAGGCTCTTTCCCATTAGTTACACAGAAAAGCATGTCCTTTAACTTACTGTCTGTCTAAAATACCACAGATTTTTATTGGAACTATGTTATAATTCATTTTCTTCTAAAATTCTAAGGTCAATTATAAAGGATATTAAAGAGATCATTAGAACCCTTTCTTTCTTTGGAAAAAGAATACAGAAGAACCATCTGATAATTCAAAGTTTTGATTAAAAAAAAATAAGATGCACACAAAATATACCAGTAATCAGTCATTCTAGAAACTTGGACAGGAATGTCTGGGGTTGAGGAGATGCTTACGGAAGTCTCTTGGGCAACTTTCTTCTCTCTGGACTGGCCTCAGGGTCTGCCTTGGTCAAAAGTATGACATGGTTTTTAAAGTGACAGATGGCTTTCAAGCCTATGAAAAGCTGTATTCTTAATGCACAGACATCCATACTGACAGGTGGGCAAGCCTAGTAAGGGGAAAAAATAACAGATTTAACCATGGAATAAAGGTACATGAACTTTAATCTTCAAAAATCAGTCTGTTTATTTGATAAAATCTCTCTAACTCTCCTTCCCCCTACAAAAAAACCACCTCAAATTCTTATTTTTATCAGAGCAAGAAGGTTACCCTATCCAAACTTATGCAGCCAACTATCTATTTCATATGTGCCTTCCAAAAAGCTACTCATTACTTGTTGACTGAATGTACACAGAAAGGTGCATCTGAGGCCCTCAGAGCTGTAGGAATTCCCATGGCTTACAGAGCAACTCCAGGGGTGCAGCTGTGGGCTGGTAACCTGCCATCCAGAGAAATCCCCCCACAAGAGTGGGCTGGCTCCAGGGATATGCCCAAATGGAGTTCCCAGACAAAACCAAACACTATAAAAGGATATTCTACTGCACAGAGTATATAGCATGGTTTCTTAGTGGATGGGAAGGTAGGAGAGAAAGGTATGCATGCTCAAAATGCCCCTGACTGTTCTTAGGTGTAAACATTGCCTGGGAGGGCTGATAGGCTGGGGTATGTAGGGTAACCTGAAGGAAACTCTGGAACAGAGTTCCTTCTCTGTTCCTATAAGGAGGTATTAACTCAAATAGAATAGATAGAAGAAATAACAGAAGAGTTCTTTCTGGGAGCTTGCAAAATGCTGCTGCCAGGCCTGTGCTTTCTCCTCCATTAACACTGTTTTGATTCTGAGCTCATCTTCATTGTCTCTTTGTATAAAGTGCTTGGGGAAACCCCTCCATCTATTTTTTCATTCCTAATAATGTTTAAGGTGCCTTGGCCAGTGCTAAGAAGCCAGAACCTCAGAGGAAAGAGAGATAAAGACATGTGTACTCTGGACCAAACTCTGAGGTTGTGATATCTTTGTCAGACACCACAGCTCCCAAAGTCTGAATCAGCAAGCAGACTAAATGACTCATTCCGGTGGCACCTATGATTGCAGAATGGTAGAGATGCAAGGAAGGGGGAGTCATGAAGTATGATCATCACCAACCTTCCTTATGCCACTTTTCAGATGACTGGTCTCAAGGGCAGCATTCCCTACCAACTGCTCTCTTTTCTCCTTCCTTCTTGTCCCTTGTTCCTTCCCTCTGGTTTTATGAGACTCTGAGAAGACTTGGAATTACAATTTTTTTTACTGTAGATTTACCCCACCTCAATCTATTATGTAGCCCCTCACCCCACAATCACTACTTATATAAGCCTATGTTTTTCTGAGGTTTTTTTTAAAAAAAGGCAAGATATGAAGAGGAGGAGACAAAAACCATCTATCAGCCTTACATTTTTACTAGAGAAATAACCTCTATTTTAAAAATAATCTCTTGAAAAGGCTATGCTTGTACCTTAAACACAGAAAGGCATGGGAAAGCTATGATTCTGGTTTCCCAAGAGACTGAAGGTCAGCAGGAAGCCTGGTCAGCAAAAAAGCTACAAGCAGGCCACAGCAAAAAAGAGTCACTGAGAACTCAGATCACGTAAAACTATCACATACCACCATTTGGGCAACAGTAATAGTCTATACCTCAGACACATTAAGCACTCAATAGTGTTGCCTATTAACATATCACCATTAATGAGTGCTCATTTTTTCCAGGAAAAAGCTATCTAAGTGCCAGATAAACTCACACTAACTTGTGGAATATTGGCCACCACATTTGGGGGGTTCCTGCAATATGTAACTTTCTAACGAACACCCATTCAAGTAGCTTACACTTGAGGGGTGAAATAGCATATGATGATCATCATGCAAATGATCAATGTATTTTTGGAAACAGAAATTCAAGGTCAGAAAATACAGAATTTTACCCTGAAACCATCCACACTTATTTTGTGATCAAGAGCTTTTCAGAGACTAAGCATATTCTCACTAAAAATGAAGTTTTTGACCTAGTATTTCTATATTAACTCTTAGATTAAAACTACAGAAACACAGAAGGTTTGTTGAAGGCTTATAGAATGACAAAAGAATTACAGGAATATCTGATAACAGTATAATGCACTTTATTCAATTTTGTGTTCTTGAATATACTTATTTCTGTACTGCTTTGTAAATAGCCAAATACAATTGCTATCAATATTTCCATTATAAAAGAATAAAAATGCAGTGTACTATAGTTATGAAGTACTTCCTGAAGTTTCAGTATACATACCCTTTATCAAACTTTAAATAACTATGCACTATACCTAAGTTCTAAGTAAAATGTTTCCAAAGTAATCTTAAAAATTGCCATCTAAACCATGAATCACAAAATGTACACTATTTTACATGATAAAGTTCTAATTCAATAAACTAGACCACAAGACTTTACTGTTCACCAAGCTTAGACCCAAGGCAAACTTGCAAGCACTTGTATGTTCGTTTCTGATCTTAAGGTTTCACTGTCCTCATAAGCCAGCTCTAACCTTCACGGTGGTGTCCACATATGGGTCCTCCTCCCGAGCGGCCACTGCACTGCACCGCACTGTGAAACACTGCAGGCTGTTACTAAGAAAGAGGAAAGACACCCCTGAGCAAAGCGGTGGCCAATAACCAATATGCCCACAGTTGGGAGGATTTCACAGGGGGACAGAATAATGGTGGGGTTAGGGTGGGAGGAATTCAAAGTATTTTTCAAATTCTTTCCAAATTAGACTGCTTCTTAACAAGGAGCTCACCTCAGGATCCCTATGGAGTGTTTTTTAAAATACGTAACTGGTCCCCACCTCACACCTACTGAATCATAATCCTAGGAGCTCAATCTAAACATGTATATTTCTACAAAACCCCATGAGTGGCTCTGTTGTACACTCTAATTAAGGACCAAGGGCCTGAGGCAATACCTTCATTTTACAATCAAAATGATGCCCCCAGATCCACCCAAGGTACAGAGAGGTGACTATCAAAGCCAAGATTAGAACCCGAGTCTCCTGGCTATTATCTCTATCCTACTCATCTCAGGATGAAATTGAGCCTGGATTACAATGGGCAACACACGCAGATTATGCAAACACAAATCCAATGGTAGAACTGAAAATCAGAGATTCCTGAAGGTGTCTTCATAATTACCTACTCCAGCAGCCTGATTTAAAGATGAGGGCACAGAAGGTTCATGATTGATCCAAGGCCTCTCTGGAGAACAGAGCCAAATTAGATCCCGGGTCTCACTCCTCATGCTCCTCTAGCTCTTTTCACAACCCCAAGCTGTTTCTGCACAGTAAAATGACCTTGGGACCCCACAACAGAGGCCTGGTGACTGATGGATAAGTCAACACTCAAACACTGACATTAAAAACAGTTACTTGGAAACTCCTACAAAACCCATCTTTATAAGGAGCTCACAGGAATGACTTTTAAGAACAATTAAGAAGTGGGAGAAGTAAAAATGAATTCTGTTGAAATAAAAAAATTAAGGACTAAAGAAAACCTAACAATGATTTTAAAATAGAAGAAATACTTCTATAACAAGAAAGGCATTCTGACATTTTCACACTTGGGAGACTGCACAGTGCAGGTTAGAGTTACCAGTCAGAGCTCTCTCCCCGTTTGTGGGGCTTCCTCTTCAGCCTTAGCCTTGTCATCTCTACCCATTCTCACACACTTCTAGGACATGACATCTGGAGTCATGACAATACCTAGAATGGTGCACCACCACCTGGAAATCTGGAGTAGAGAATTAGCACTCTGAGGAGGTAAAATGAATGGAAGGGTCTTTTGACATAGTGAAGAGCAAAAAAGCACCTGTAGTGGGGCCAGAATGGCAGGGGAGAGTAGCTATGACCACAAAGGTTCTAGAGATAAAAATGCTGAGTCCTCTGACTCACCTCCACCTACAGTAATCCAACAGTGATGGCTCTGTTGGAATACTAAAAAGCAGTATAAGAGAAGAGTACAGTGAACTGGAATGTGTTGTTATGGAAAGATGTCCAGGGTATGCTAAGTGAAGCAGCAGTTGCTGCACAGTGGACATCATATGATCCACTTTTGTAAGGAACAAATCACAGTAGTTTATGTACTGTTCAAACTGAACGAATTAACACCAATTATTAATATGGTTGACTCTGAGGAGTAGGATCCTGGGAGGGCTTTCCCACTTATGTACATCTATAAGGATGATTTTATATTGTTCTTAAATTCTTTAAAAAATTTTTCCTATTGCTTTTTTTTAGGGTATAGGAATACAGTAGTCTTCAAGAAACTTTCCAAGACACTTACAGGTCAAGATATTTCTAAAATATGTATCTATTGGGTAAAATAAAAAATAATAAAAATGAGTTCATCAACATAGTTTTTCTTTAAATAGCACAGGGCTCCTTATTAAGAATCTGAATTTGCATATAACAACTGCTGTTCTAATGTCTAATGCTTCCATAGTCAAGTTAATGATGTCAGAGTATATCTTGATGCTAGTATTAAGAAAGCTTTAATAATATCCTACCTGGAGGTAGGGAAAACCTGGACATTTTCAGTCACTTCAAATCCCATAATACCATGCTTTCAGGACTCTACATTCAAAACTAGTTCCTGACTTACACTTAAGAGGGGAATAAATGTAGAGAGTCCACTAAATTCTCAGTTTCCTACACATCTGCGCAATCAGATGGAGAAAAAAAGAGCAGTCTTTTGCATCAGTATTTTGGCACAGGAATTAATATTTTATTCCTTCTTTCTCTCTCTAATTTTACCTTGGTTTCTGAGATGCAATAGTTTTCTAGGTTCCTTTGCATCCTTGAAGATCCTTCTCTTCTTCTTCTTGCTTCCTAAACATGATCTTCACCAGAGTTTAGTTCTCCAGTTACTTTCCTCTGTACATACTCTTGCAGCCATACTCGTTACTTTGATAATCAGCTCCTTTTTGATGGTAATAAAGCATCAAGTTTTTCTCTTTTCCCAAATCTTCAGTCTTATGTGTACAAAAGCCTACTTAACACTTCCTCTTGAGAGCCCCTTAGCACCTCAAACTCAAATGTGTAAATCAAACTTCTCTTTCAGTCCACATTACACCAGCCTCCATTCTTTCATAAAAGCAGGTTCAAAACTCTGCTGGGTTTTTCACACTTCCTCCATTCCCATTATCTCATCAGACACCAAGGAATTCTCTTGCCAAAGCCTCTTCCATCCATTCTTCTTTCTCCTCTTACTGTATTTGCCCTGCCCAAATACAGTCTCATTATTCTTACCTGAGCCATTTTAATACCTTATTTAACTCTGTTCAATCCATCCACCCTAATGGCCACCATCAATTTTCCTAAAGTATGCTCTGATCACATCACTTTCTTTGATCAAAACCTTAAAAAAAATTCCTTAATTTGCAAAGCCCTGAGCTATCTATCACTCAAGCATTATTTGTACCACTTCTCTACATTTCAGCTCTTTCATAGTCAAAACAAATCACTATGCAACACTTTGAAAATGGAGAAAACTAGTTACCCTTAAGAAACATATTAAAAGCATTTCTCCTTACACTAGAGAGGGGGAAAAGAGGGGAGCACCCACACTAGGAGTGGGTATCAGAATCCTCCAGGTGGGTCCTGTGCTATTTGAAATGCACTCCAGTACCTGCTGGAGATTCTGATACTACCACTCAGTTGAAAAAATTTTTAAAATCGTTGTCCTATGCAATTAATTATTGGATGCTACAGCAAAACTGAATACAGCTTTTGTTTATAGTCTTCCCTCTATAAGCTTTTCTCTTCCAATTACCATCTGTCAAATTCTAACTAGCTTTCAGGTCTCACAAACACAACAAAATTTCCCACATGACTCAGCCAGAAGTAATTTCTCTACACCATTTTCACAAAGTCTTAAGACATTTTTCACAAATCTTCTAGTGTTTGTGTCACATGTATANCCATCTACAGCCCCTGGGGCCAGCTGACCTTTCTATCAGTATTTAAGGTATTTGCCGCAGACAGTTCATGACAGAACCAAGACCAGGACCTTGTTTTCCTCCTGTTCAACCTGGTCTGCCAGCTCAGGCCACTTACATTCAAAATCTCTCCCATCATTTTTGTAGAGACAGAGAAACGTTTTGTGAAAACTAAGATAGCATATCTGCTTCTTTCTAGGCCTCTCCTCTTAGTGTCTCTATCAGCTTAATTTGAACCCTGGCCATTTAGAATCCAGAAGTGTGTGTGTATGTATAGATGCATGTGTGCTTTGAAGAGGATTAGGGATAGATACTTTGCAATATATATGTGATCTCTTTAGAAGGAAAAATAAAAGAACAATTATTCACCAGGGAGAATTGAAAATCGAAAGCCATTTTCCTATGCTTATTTTACTATAAAACATTAAAATATATTTTACTAAAAACATTGGTGTTTAGGTCAGACAAGACCTAGGTGTCTACCCAGGGAAAATGAAAAAAATACTTCCACACACAGACTTGAACATGAATGTCCATAACAATATTATTAATAATAGCCAAAAAATAGAAACAACTGAATTGTCCCATCAACTGGATGGATAAACAAAATATTGACACAATGTCCATATTTAGTGTATTAAAGGTTGTTACTTCTTTGGTCATATATCTCTAGAGCTATTTCCTAATTTCAGACAGTAAGTGTCCTATAGGACACTATAAAGTGAGACATAATTCAACTAGATTGAGTTTTTCAGTCTATGAAAATGATTAGATAGTTTCAAGCTTTGAAAGTACTGCAAAAGTGAAAGAAATACAAAGATTTCTGTTTAACTCCTGCTGTGCCTATAATGTGAAAATAAAGTTATAATTAATTTTTATGACTGATCCCTGTGTTCTCCTGGAAATGCTCTGAATATAAATAGGCGAGACTTTTAAAAGCATCCCTCTTATACCTTCTAAAAGGCATAGGAATTTTAAACATTTTCAAGGGATAGAGAAAGAAATGAGTCTCCTTACTGAAGGACAATTTTCCTTAGTCAAATTAAAAGCTAAGGATGCAAAGAACTCTAACAACTCTACAATATGACAACCCAATTTTAAAGTAGGCAAAAGTTTTAGATACACATTTCACCAAAGAAATGGCTTAGCAGCACATGAAAAGGTATTCAACATCATTAGTCATTAAGGCAATGCAAATCAAACTGAAGTATCACTTCAAGTCTGTCAAAAAGACAGACAATGACAAGTGTTGGTAAGGCTGTGTGGGGAAGTGGGAGCACTCCTCCATTGTCAGTGAGGACTTAAAATTATACAGCCACTTTGGAAAACAGTTTGACAGTTTCTTGAAAAGTTAAGTATTAATTTCCCACACAACAGAGTAATTCTAGTCCTAGGTGTCTACCCAGGAAAAATGAAAAAAATACTTCCACACACAGATTTAAACATGAATGTCCATAACAGTATTATTAATAATAGCCAAAAAATAGAAACAACTGAATTGTCCATCAACTGGTGAATGGATAAACAAAATGTGGACTGTCCATATAATAGCATGATATTCAGCCATAAAAACAATGAATTACTGATACATGCAACAACATTTATGAACCTAGAAAATGTTACACTAAGTGAAAAAAGCCAGACACAGAATATACATATGGTATAATTCCATTGATATGAATTGTCCAAAAAAGATGAAGCCATAAAAACAGTCAGTATTTGCCTGGGGCTGGGATGGGGGCTGGAATTAATGAAATGGGCATGAGGGATCTTATTGGGATGATGAAAATGTTCTAAAACTACTGTGGTAATGGTTACATAACTCAGGAAGATAATTAGAAACCACTGGATTATGGACTTAATGTGGGTGAATTTATGGCATGTAAGTCATACCTCAATAAAGTTGTTTTAAAAAATAGAGAATCAATCAAAACTGAAAGTTTCTGTGACATGACTGCCCTTGCACTGTTCACCATGTAAGAACTTATTCACTATGTAAGAACTTATTCACCATGTAAGAACTTGTTCATTATGCTTCAGAAGATTGGAGACTGTTGAGAGTTAGGCTTGGGGTTGATTAATGATTGTGCATTGAGTTCCCTACACAGAATTTTATTGTTGTAAACAACCATTTGATCAATAAATATGAGAGGTGCCCTCTCAAAAAAAAAAAAGAGAATCATTAAAAGAATAAAACCTGATACATAAAAAAAAAAAAAATTCTGCTCAGGAACCCAGTTTATATGCCAACATACTAGAGAAAGGCAACTCAGAAAACATCTCCACTGATTAACCAATGACTTTGACCAATTCCTGTCGCTGGACTATTTATCCATCTATTCTAATCAGGGGGTAGAATCAGATAGTCTTTCTGGTCCCTTCACAGTTCTAAATCATTATCAAATAACTCATACAAAAAAGAGACAATAGCAATGAAAAAAAAAATTAGGAAATCCAAAAAGAAATCTAAAGATGCCCTGACTGGTCTCAATGACTTTTCATTAGAATTCCCTATGAAAATCTTCTCTCATGAAGACCTTACACTTCCTTACAAGGATCCCCATATACCTAAGAAAATAAAACAAAGCCAAAACCAGAATCTTAATCTTTGACATTGAAAAGGCAGGTATGGGCCATCAAGACAGTAGATGTCATTAATCTACAGTGCTGTATACCGGTTCACACAACTCTCACTTAAAGATTTAGGAAACATCTCAAGAATTTACAGAAAATCAAGTGACTCAAAAAGCTGGCAGGTGATACTATAACATACCTTGTGATGACATGCAAAAATTGTGGCGTGAGCACTGCCTGTTGAGACTTCTCAGGATATTGGTAAACTGACATTAACTCAACGGATTTGACAACCACGTAGAGATAGCCCACATGAGGTAATGAGAAAAAACAAAACAGACTGAGCAACTCTTTTTCCTGACATGAATTTTTTCTAACAGAAGTAAGAGAGCCTGTATGGGAAAGAACAAAACAAAACATGAAACCAGTAAATAAGGGGAATCAGTATCTCAACTTTTCTATTAAAAAAAGTCTATCAGTGGATAACCAAAGAGTTGTTTAGTGGAAGCTGCACTTCACAGAAGAATGCCAGTAAGAAGTGAAAAGGGAGTAATATAATTAGAATAGCACCATTCTGTGACCCCTAATAAATTAACAAATCTAGGTAATAATCATCATTGGCTCTTAACATCACAAAAAGAATCAACCAGATACTATGTGCCTTCCAACAAAATTCAATACTGCTTGCATTACCAAAAACAAATAAAAAAGTAAATAATAATAATCTGATCAAGCTTAAGTCTAGATCAGCACTGTTGAGATATATGTGAGCCACATAATTTAAAGTTTTATAGTAATATACATAAAAAAGTAAAAGAAAACAGGCAAAATGTTAGTAACATATTAACTCCAAGCATACAAAATATTACCATTTCAACCATCAACAAAAAATTATTGAGCTGTTTTATATTTTTTTGTACTAAGTCATCAAGATCGAATGAATTTTACATTTACAGTATACCTCAAGTTAGTTATATTTCAAGTGCTCCATAGCAACAGGTGACTAATGGCTACCATACAAAACGATGAAGCTTTAGATCCAACTACCAAATCACAGGGAAATACAGGCAATACAGGAACATGATGAATGACACCCTGGGGACTCAATCAGCAAAACCTAGATCACAGAAAATTCTACACTATTAGTCCAGTTTCTTGCTAAATACATTGCAAGGTAAAGAGAGAGAGAGTAAAGTCTACATATTAAAAGAGTCTTACTGGACACAGTAATCAACAGCAATGTATGAATCTTTCTTGGAATTTGATTCAAACAAATGAATTTTTAGAAGTTTCTTTAGGCAACAGGGAAATTTGAACACTAACTGAGTATTTGATGATATCAAGTAATTTTTAAAAATGTAAAATGGTATTTTAGGTGTGTGCAAATGAAAGAATCCTTTTCTTCTAGAAAAAGACACTGAAATATTCATGGAGGAAATGATATAAACTCTGGGATTGCATCAAAATAATCTGGCACAGGACAGGGAGTAGTCATGAGGCAACACCTGTTGAAGGTGTGTGATGAATACATGGGGTTTGTTGTGCTATTTTCTCTACATCTATGTGCTTGAAGTTTTTCATAATCAGTTTTTTTTAAAGCATAGCTAAAGAAGTCCATTATCTGCACTATCCACAAGTGGCCCAAAGCAACATGACCAGTTTTTTCTCACCCTTTTTTCCTACACACATCTGTACTCTCGTCACACAGAACTCACCAATCCCCACACACACACGATGCTTTTACACCTTGTACATGTTCCCCTCATATAATGTCCTACCGAAATCTCTGTCTCCTCAAAGTTTTGCTCATCCACTAGGGCCCAGCTCTAATAGTCACTACCCATCCATTCGTCTATTATGTAAATATTCATCAAATTCCTACTAAGTGTCACTCTTCTAAGTTCTGTGGATACAATAGTACACAAGACAAGGTAACTGCACTCACTCTAGTGATGGGAATAGAGGTGGAAGATAAAGTCTGCAATATGTGAAGAGGGAGTAGTTTAAATGGAGGTCAGGGAGGCTCTCTGTGAGATGACATCTGAACTGTGAGCTGAATGATTCAAAGATACCAGTCACACAAGATCTGAGGAAGTATATTCTAAGCACAGTTAAGAGTAAATAACAGGTCTTAGGCAAGAGCATGTCTGGCATGTCCGAGGAACAGAGAAAGGCATTATGGAGACTAGTAAACAGTATGACGGGCACAAGATAGACTCAGAATTAGGGTTATTGCATGGAAAGAATTTAGAATTTTATCTCAAGAGCTATGAGAAGCCACTGGATGGCTGAGCCTCTAGCACAGGTATGGGCCCAGCTGTTTCCCAGCTTTGTCACACACCTTTCCCCCAGTCTACTCTCCCCAGACTTGCTCCTCTCAGTTCCTTAAACCAAGATTCCCCACTGCCACACACTTTTGCTGCTTCCTCTGTACCAGCCCTATTCCCAAATCAGCGCTGATTCACTCTGCAGATCCTCTTTCTTAGGAAGCCGTCCCCGACTCCCAGATGAGGTCAGTATCTTTTCATAGGCTCTCAAGGCAGAGTTCTTTGCCCGCAGGGCACTCATTTCAGTTTACAAGTGTATACTCCTTTTTGTGATTATTTGATTAATGTCTGCCTCCCTCAAGGAGACAATAAGCTCCAAAAGAACAAATACTTTTGCTCATACTTTGTTTTCTAGTATTCAGCACAATATCCAAAATAGTATATACTCAATAAATATTTACTAAAAGAAAAAAACAAATGAAGGTTATATACATGTTTAATTAGAGCAATATTTATATCTTTCTCTAGGCAACATCTAAAGATGCTAAGAAAGCAGGCTAGGACTAAGTATAGAATTCAATGGTGATTCTCAATCTTGGCCACCCCTTACGTTCTTGGACAGCTTTTAAAAAATACTGATGCCCAGACTTCATAGTTAACCAATTGTGTCCGAATCTCCAACATGCAGACCCTGGGTATCACAAGTTTTAAAAGCATCCAAGCAAGCCCAGCGTGCAGCCAGGCTGAAAACCATTCTAAATGTATTTCCATTCAGTCCACATTTTCCCAGTTTGCTCACAAGGCCACCAATAAGAAACTTTGCCAAATACCTAGCTGGAACCCAGATAAACCTCAGCTATAACAGGGCTCTAATTTCCCTTTTTAGGCCTAGTGACCATTTCAAAAGGGGAAGAGACTTTTGTCTGTCACATCCTTTCCATGGCTTCAGTCAGCAGACATGACTTCCCTTTCTAGGGCTTGCAGTATCTGCTAAGTAACTTGTCCAAGGCCACAGGGAGACTCAGCAGCAGAACCTAACCTATTACCCACAGCAGTCTCCCATCCAGCCCGTGCACCTCAGTGTGCTGTCATACTTACTTGTTTGGTAAATGGGTAGCAGCTGAAGTGAATGCAACTTGATGTCATCAGACAAGACACAGGATGAAATATCAGGAGCAAAACGTCTGTGAGTTTAAAAAAAGAGAGTGAGGGAGAGATCTAATTTCCATGTACGTAATGCAGGTAAATATGTATTAAATGCTAGTGAAGAAAAGCTTTCTAATACTTATAGAGCAGGTGCTGAACATGGAAATATTTTATTTTTTCTTCAGCTAATCCTGTTGACTCCAGTCTAACAGATACTCCAGACTGTTCACTTTTTTCACCAAGAAGTTCTACGGGTTTTTGGCAGAAGACAAAATCATCTGACTCAGGTGGCAAAGTTTCATTACTGATACCTTAAAAAAAAAAATTTAAGAGTTTAACTTCAAGTACTACTTGAATGAAAATTAGATTTTACACCATTTTCCCCACCAATTAAATAGACGTACAGTAGTTTTATTTATTTAGACACACACACATCTTATATATTTACAAGACCCTATGGTTTTGAAAAGTCTCAGCACTTGCTCACTTATTCCTTACAAGAGTTGACAAAGTCCAACAGGGTATTATTATTATTATTGTCATTTTACACATGAGGCAACTGAAACTCAGAGATGGTATTCCTGACCCTAGGTCATTTAGCTAGTAAATACAAGAACTGGGACCATAGACTCATCTAGCAGCAGCTGTTCCATTTTTTCTATTGACAAATACATGCTGAAATACATTTACATCCTAGAGAATAAGATGGGGAGCCAGATCTTAAGCCCAAATCCCATGAATTAGGAGCAACTAAATCTCTAAATGGCTTGGCAATATATAAACTAGAGGCCTTCAGAAACTGCCAGAAGTAAGGGTTTTCTCTACACCTAGAGCAAAAAAGCAAGCTAAATTCATTATTTACCTTTTGTCTGTTTCATTGGATTGTTGGTCTTACGTGGATAGTTAACACTCTCTCCATTTTTGGGGCCTGACTCCAGTTTCAGGACTAAGACTTCTAAATCTGACATGATAGCAACATATCCAGCACAAAAAGAAACTTCAACAGGAGTGATATTATCTATGTGTATAACTAAAGAATGTTCAAAGTCCAATACTGAGAATTCCTCATTAATGATCTGATACTTCAAACTAAATAAGACTAACTCATTTGTGCAGCCAACAAGAAGGTCTCCTTTCACAGGGCAACAAGAAATGCACAAGGGGGCCTCAGAAAGCGGCATTTCAACAATAGACATCTGGTCTCTGAAGGTTTCGCTGAAGGGTGACTCCACAGTATGTCCAACCATTCGGATACACACTCGAGAGTTTTCAGTCCTTTTACTTCTCCAATTCCCATAAGCACGTACAAATGTAGCTTTGTTTTTCTCTTCAATTGCTACCAAATAGTCTCCTGAGAAGAAATAAGATTATATTTAGGATTTGTAATCAGAAACAATTTACCTTACACCATGGAGAGAACTACTAAGGAATCCTAATGGGAACAGTTGAATTAAAGACTGACTTGATTGAAACCAACATAAGGTTGTATATTAATGATACTTTAAAAATAAACAATACTAAAACTAAAAAAAAATTGACTAGAACAAAACGCTAAGTAACAGGATCATTGGTCTATTTTTAACTGATGTGAGGCATTTAGGTTCTGAAAAACAACCTCTCTCCATTTGAATATATTAAGACAAACCATTTATTATTTATGTAGCTTACATAGCAATTTTACATTACTCCTTAGATTTGCTCTAAGTGTTTACTGTAGCTCTGATCTACAGCTCCAACAAAGCTCTCCAGACATAGACAGTTCAGCAGTGTTAGTGTGAGGTTACTATTAGGTAAAATTAAGGAACTCTGAGGAGCTTATGCCACAACCCCTCCCATTCCCACAAAAGTCAGATCATCATGTCAACTCTAAAAAATAGGATAAGGCTGTATATATTAAGTAAAATTTAAATCCAAGTTAATTTTCCCTTAATTGTTTATTTTATTAGATTTTTTTTAAAGTACAAAGTAATTTTGTAATTACTTCTTTTTTTGTGAGAAGTCAAAGTAGTGAAGAGATATAAAATGAAAAGCATAATGATCTATCCCCTGCAGCCCAATCAGTGAAGCCAATGTTAACATGCACTACCTGGTATATGCCCTTCTATACCTTTCCCTCATATAAACATAGATCACAGGATGGTATTTTGTTTTTAAATCTTTCCCTGCAGGTCAATACATGAATATATAATATTCTTTCAGTATCTGCACAGTATCCTGTATATACATGTGCCATAATTTATTTAACAATTCCCCTATCAATAAACATTCAATTGTTTTCAGTTTTTTTGCCACTATACCACTTGCTGCAATAAACAGGCGTATACCTATATATTTTCAATGGCATAAATTCCCAAAAGTGAGAATGTTGGGCCAAAGGGCAGGTACATTTTAAACCATAATAGATATTGCCAGATTGGGATCACAATGACATGTTAGAAATTCATGTTGTCAGCAGCACTATGTGAAAATGCCTGTTTCTCTGCATTCGCACTAGCACTGACTCCACGTTACGGGGGAAACATGGCCTCCTGTAGTTACTATAATTTATATTTTCCAGACTACTTACAATGCTGACATCTTCTCCTATGTTTATCAGCTGTGTATAATTTTTCTTCTGCAAGTTATCCACTTGATTAGTCTGGTTTATTTTTCTTATCAAAGAATAGCAGTTCTCTGGCTAAAAGTGATACCAATCCTTTGTTGGCCATGAGTAACAAATTGTTTTCAGTAGTCTACTGTTTGACTTTTGACTTGCTTGTACATCGTTTACCATATAATTTCTATATAGTCAGATATGTATCATTTCCCTCTTGGCTTCTTCTGAGTTTCCTAACTTGCTTAAACAGTCTTCTAAGTCCTCTAATTACATAAACTTACTCTTACATATTCTATTTTACTGGTTCCTTTATTTAAATTTTTAGTCTTTACAACTCTGTGGTGGATGCTAAGTCAGGTTTCTTCCAAGTGTAGAACCTACTACACAGTAACATTATTATGTAGACAAGCCCTTTCCCAAGAACTGAAACTGAAATGCTGTTGCTGGCATACTGACTTCCCACACACACATGCAGCAGGCAGGCACAGCCCCTTTGTGCAGACACTCACTGGGCTGGTCAGGTTCCTCCACCTCCTCCAAAATGACCCAGCAAGAGCAGCAAGCCTTCTGATGGTGGTTCCTTTGATGCCACAGAGAAGGAGCCAGCACCTTCTCTCCCTGGTGATCTTGGCAGAACGCCTAAGAATACCCTGCAGTCTCCATGAGTTTGCTCACTCTGTTCCAGAGGAGCAGTTTGGATGGAGTTGGAGTCAAACGATGCCTTTTGGCCTCTATCTTCCTAGAACTCCCTCAGTAAATGAATATTTAAAAATTTTTTATTGTGGTAAAATATACAGAAACTTTAGCATTTTCACCATTTTTAAGGGTACAATTCAATGGCATTAAGTACATTCACATTGCTGTGCAACTGTCCCCACCATTTCTCTCCAGAACTTTTTCATCTTCCCCAAAACTCTTTATCCATTAAACAGTAACTCCCCTTTCCTCACCCCATGCCACTTAAACTCTGGCAACCATCATTTTACTTTCTGTATTTATGAATTTGTCTGTTCTAGGTACCTCATATAAACTGAATCATAGAATATTTGTCCTTTTGTGACTGGCTTATTTCACTTAGCATTATGTCTTCAAGGTTCATTGTATTGCAGCATGTGCCAGATTTTCACTTTTTATTTTAAGGCATATACTCTATTGATGTATACACCGTACTTTATTTATCTATCAATGGACACTTAGGTTGTTTCCATGTCTTAACTATCATGTATAATGCTGCAGTGAACATGGGGGCACAGATATACATAAGCCACATTCATCTTTTCATCTGTTGATTTGACATCTGGGTTACTTCTACCTCTTGGCTCTCATGAAAAATGCTACACTGGTGTATAAATACCTGCACAAGTTTCTGCTTTCAATTATTTTGTGTATATACCCAGAAGTGAAATTACTAGATCATATGTCAATTCTTTGTTTAATATTCTGAGGAACCACCATACTGTTTTCCACAGCAGTTCTATTTTACATCCTACCAGCCATGCACAAAGGTTCCAATTATCTCCACAGCCTCACCAACACTTGTTATTTTCTACTTTTTTTGTTTGATTGTAGCTATCCTAATGGGTGTGAAGGGGTATCTCATTGTGGTTTTGATTTGCATTTCCCTGACGATGATCAGTGATGACCATCTTTTTTTTCATGTGCTTGTTGGCCATTTGGAGAAATGTCTATTCAAGTTCTTTGACCATTGTGAATTAGGTCTTTTTTTTATTGTTGAGTTATAGAAGTTATTTGTATATTCTGCATATCAATCCCTTATAAAATATATGCTTTACAAATATTTTCTCCCATTCTGTGGGGTGCCTTTTCAGTCTGATAATAGTATTATTTGGTATACAAAACTTAAATTTTAATGACAACCAATTTTTTTTTCTTTGGTTGCCTATGCTTTGCTGTCATATTTAAGTTAGTAAGTGAATTTTAAAACTAAGAATATTTCTTTAGTTATAATAAAAGCACTTTATTCATGCATCTATAAAGACATGCCTATTTCACTAAGTTTGCTTATCAACTGTGTATGTATAATCTGCCAACTGTAGACAGCCCATGCTGTCTGCTATGTTTTCAAATTAACAACTCATTTTATAAATGATAAACTAGAACTTGCTAAGTGTGTCTACCTGACAAGCCATTAGGATTAGAGCTTTAGAGTTCTCTCAGTTAATCTTCACAACAGACCTTCAAGATATTACCTCCTTCTCAATTTTATAGATCAGGAATCTAAGGCTCAGATGATCTAAATAACTTGCCTAAGGCAACATAGCCAACAAAAGATGGAGTTGGGACTTAAACCTGGACCTGGTAAGCTCTAAAGCTGATGCTCATTCCCCAATAATGCTGTATCTCAAAATGTTAGAAAGGAGATAAAAAACTAGAGGATTCTCTGGAGGTTAAAGACCTTTGTAAGGGAACTGAACATTTTTAAAAATTCAATTTATCTAAACTAAAAACAAAACAAAAACCAAAAAATAGTTCACCCATTTTTCCCCCTCTTCCCCACCTTATACCTAGTATTCTCCAACGTGTTCTCTATATCCATGAGCTTGGTTTTTGGCGGTGGTGGTTGTTTTTCAAGACTACATATGAGAGTTGATATGGTATTTGTCTTCCTCTGATTAATGAACTTTTTAAAGCACGATGTGCCCAGGACTTTATTTTACTTATTTTAAAACAGCTTCTCTCTTTATTAAGTAAATTTAAAAAGCATTCCCATACTTACTCTTAAGCTGAGAATCATTAGTTCTAAAAATAAGCTTTTCATTTTATATAGCAAGATCAGAAACCTGGTTAACACTAGTACCAGATTATGGAAAAGGCTGTACTCCTATGACAAAATTGACTTCAGAAGACAGATATACAGTGACAAATATAACTTCAGAAAAATTTAGGGAAGTTAGGGTTTGTGGGTGGAGGTGACAGACAAAGGCTTGTTTTATACGTTTGTGCTAAAGGACAGGCAATTAGAGCCATGTGATCTTGTCCTCTCTGCCACACCCCCTCCAGATACCCCATAAGCAAGCGTTCAGCACTAGAGCTGCACACATAGCACTCAACCCTGGTTGCCAGTCTTTCTCCACTTAAAACGACTTTTTATATGCATTCTCTTCATCCCTTTACAACAAAGCCTAATTAAGTTTCCATTACTGATGATGATGTTAGGGCCCCCATCCTTCAAAATTTCTACCTCCTTTCTCCGTAAGACCCACAGATTTTTTTAAAAGGAGAATAGCATCCTGCTAATTAGAGATTTAAAAAATGAAAATGTTTTTGCTTGGGTAAGAGACCTGCAAAGCATTTACAGTAAATATAAATGGCCAATGAATTGGCAGGAGGAACAATGTTTTTGGCAGAAGGGACTTGCTACACTGGGTGCTTACAGTAGGAATCCCCACATCCAAGTTACTGTGAGTGGGAGGAAAGAGACCAGAAGGAAAAAGCTGAGAAGTGGAAAACAAGTTACCTGGATATCAGCATAGCTAGGTAGGAGTCAGCTCTGTGTAGATTAACAGAAACTATATCCAGCACTTAAAGTTCAAGCAGAGGACTGAAAGTTACCCTTGAGCTATATGACCCATGCTAATGCCATACCACATGACTCCTGAACTTTCTCTAAGACAGCTAACTGGTTTATAAAAACATCTTTGTTTTTCAAGGCCTCATACATATGGTTACCACACTACTGCCTACAAGCAGTGAGCATGGTTTGAGGTCAGTGGTTCCAAATCTTGGCTAAAATTAGGCTCATCACAATGCTGGACCACACCCCACGAATCTGAAACTGTTTCTCCGAGGTTGGGGTCTAGGCCTTTGCATTTTTTAAAGCTCCCCCAGGTGATTTTTAAGTACAAGTAGTGGCATCCAAGGATCCCCATAATCACTACTACTGACAGGCAAGAAAACTGGAGGTTTACATAATGCCTGCCACTTCCAATTCGAGAATAAATGTCCATGTGAAAGAATGGGGTTAATAATGTAAACATGTCTGTCTGTCTGTCTCTCACACAAACTACACAAGACAAACTACGCAAAACTCTGGTGAGTTTCCCAAAAGAGCTTCCCAAAGGGGGATGGGATGGAGAAAACTGCCAATATTGTGAAATGACTAAAAGAAGGATTTCATAAGAAATGCCAAAATCAGAATCCTCTCCTCAAAGAGAATTTACCATCTAATAAGTGGTTTTCAAACAGGTCTGTGGACCAGTGCAGGCCCTGCTGATGTGGTCACTTGTCAAAAAGAAAAAATAACAGCACTGTAAGTTGCTCATACTGCAAAGATATCTAATGTTTGGAGTTAAGCGTTTCTCTTTTACAAACAATGGTGACAGTAAGGAGAATGGCATCTCACTTTTTAACATATGTATCTTTACTTGACAAAATGAGCGGCCAAATACTACGTGTGGTAGTTTTTTTTTTACTGATCCACAGAATCCCAACATCTGGAATCACTGCTTTAGTAATTCCACTTTTTTTTTTTTATGGAAACTGAGACTCCAAAATTTCTATAAACTCACACCCACCCAGCTGCAGACAGAGCAGGGATTTGATGGAGATCTCCAATCCTCCTCACTCCTCAGTAAGTGACTCAGCCACTGGCTTTTCCACTGTAAATACTACAATTTAGACCTTTACATCCCTCTTGAAATCAGGAATCAAACTAAGTGTATTAGGCAATTGAAAGAATCCTTTGGTGAATCCTTCTGTAATTCATATATTTAAAAGTTAGATTTTTCTAAAATACACCCACACGGTACCGCCCCCCGCCCTTGGTACTGCTTCACATTTCTGGGGGCAAAAAGAGTTGTGGATGCTGCCACGCTGTTGCTGTCGGGAGGGCGGTGGCTAAGACCTGAGTTCCATAAATTTAAATATCGGCACACGTTAACTTTCAAAAATCGAAGTAAGTGGAAAAGGTGTGGATGTAAAAGAATAGCCCTGAGTTGGCATAATTGTTGGAAGCTGGGAGTACCTGGGGGTTCAGGGCACTATTCTCCTTACTTTCGTATGTATTTGAAGTTTTCTATACAAAAAGAGGTTTGTCTGTTTTTTTTACTTGTCTGGGCGGAGTGTAAACCAGCACGCAACCACCGGTATCCCTGGCGAGGTCGCGGGAGGAGCCTTAGCTGTCAGCGTCCTCCGCCCCTAGAAGCCGGCGCCCAGCTGTGGTTGCCACGACAACCGCACAGCTCGGCGCACCCTCAGAAATCAGTCGCCGGACTGCGCGACACGCCTTGGCGAGTTCCGGGCTGCGCCAAGTTCCTTCCCTACCCAGAGCTACCGCGGGGGCCGCTCGGTCCTCCAGGAAGGAGGTCCCAATCCGGAGTCCAGTCGCCCTCTGACCCCGCCCCTACTCACCGGCCTCGCTGTAGGCCAGGCGCAGCACCCTGCCCAGCGTGGAGAAGGCGCACCTCGGCTGGCACAGTTCCTGGCCCACTACGGCGAATGCCTCCACCTTGCATCCTGCCGCCGCGAATAGCACATCGCTTCCTCCGCCACAGAACCGCTCGGGCTCCAGCTTGCACGGCACCACCTGCTGCGACCCGAACGGATGCAGGTTGTACAGCTGCACCATCCCGGCGACAAGCTCCAGGCGGCCCCGGCGGTGCCCACTTCGGCCTGCCAGCCCCGCGGGGCGTCCGGAGACCCCGCGCCCTCCGCGGAGGCTGGACCACTTCCGGGAGCGACTGCGCTGAGTCGGGTCACGTGAGCGTCAGGCGGGCCCGCCTGCGGCTGGGTTTCTTAAAGAGGCTGCTACCCGGCGGGGCAGGTGCTCTGCGAGCGGTAGCACCCGCGCGGCATCGCCTATCCGCTCCCGCGTCTTGCGGGCCCTTCGTGCCAAGGCCTTGGACCCGGCCGCTCAGGGATGGCAGCTCCAGTCAGCGGGCGCGGGGACCCCGTCTTTTCACACTGTCGCTTTCGGCTAGGCGAGATATTCAGGCCCTTGAGTACCTCTAAACAATTGATCTGCTGCCTTGTACCATTCCTACTTACTTCAGGGGCATCACTCACGTCTCCCCAATAGCCTGTGAACTTGTGGCTGAAAAAATCGAGTTGCACATGGCTGAATTCCTGGCTAAACACCAAAGAGCTGATCAGAAATACTGGAAATTCTAGGTAGTTTAGCTGCAAAGAGTAATGGCTAGAACATGCTTGGCAAGTATATATATATATATATGTATATTTGCTGAGAATTGTGGATATCATCTAGTGAACTCCAGGTTTGACAAAAAAGTAGTTTGAACCACAGAGGATAGGAATACTAGGGTTGAAATCCACTGGCTCTCAGTCCAGTGCTACTAAAACCGTCTTGTAACGTATATCCTATATCTAGTCCTGACATCTCAACGCAGAGCTTGAGGTTGCAATCCCAGTTGTTGTTTTTTTAACAAATGTAGATGAAGCGGGTATTGGTGCAACTCTTTACAATTCATCCAGAAAATAATGTATCCAACTATGGACTGAGGGATGCTGTCTTAGTTCTGGCATGCAGGGATGGAACTGAAAAGAAAGAAAATTTCCTTTGGTCAGTTTCTAATTCACTGTGGTGAGCCCTTTCTTCCAAGATTAGGTGCAGTTGGATTGAGATTAAACTCTGCCTCCATTTCCAGTACCCTTCAGATGTATAAAGCACCCCTAAATAATATCTGTCTCTCCTTTACCCAACCAATAGGTATTCTTTGAGAGACAACCAGTCGTCAAACTCACTGAGGAGGAGAATTGCACAAGGTTACTCTGGTAAGCCAGCTAAGGCTGAAAACTCTCATAAAAGGTTCTTGTAAAAAACTTCCAGCCTAACAATAGCTCATAACTCATTCTTTTAGAAGGAACACTCATGAACACCCTTTCTTCACAAATATCTGTCTCATATTGTCCCTTTTTGATTAATGTTCTCCTTCAAGACTGAAAATTACAATTTCACTACAAAATTAACGATTTCAAGACTAAAATTACTACTGTAATTTCACCTACATATAAAGTCTAGTTTGAAGAAAAATGAGATTTGCTCCAAGCTTAGAACCCGTCTCTTCCAGAGATGGCTCCTTCTGCCTTACACCTGCACCTGGCTCATCCAAGATTCTTAGGTGGGGGATGTGTCTCGTTTCCATGTTTGTCTGTAAATGTAAGCAGGAGCTGCCCACGTGTATTCCTGTTGAAAATAAAGGGACAGCAGTGGATACACCATCATTTCCTTTCAGGAGGCTGTGTTAGTCTGTTAGTGCAGCTGTTACAAAATATCACAGACTGGGTGGCTTAAACAACAGAAACTTGTTTTTCACAGTCTTGGTGGCTAGAAATCCAAGATGGAGGTGCTATCAGGATTGATTTTTCCTGAGGCCTCTCTCCTTGGTTTGAAGATGGCCACTGTCTTAATCCATGTGGGCTGCTATAGTGAAATGTCACAGACTGGCCATCTTATGGACAATAGAACTTAATTTCCCACAGATCTGAAGGCTGGGAAATGCCAGCCTGTAGAGATGACAGACCATGTGGACTTACTTTTCTTTATGGGCTTGCAGAAAGCAAGAATAATCACCACAACTGAAACTCTAGAAGAAATTTTAGTAGAACCCTTGTTATCAGTAGGAATTTTAGAGGCCTCAAGCAGATGTGGCTTCCAGCTATGGAGATCTCAGAAGACTACCAGGCCCTTGGTGGGCACTCCTTACCTCCACTGATAGTCTGGCACTTAAACCCCCTAAAGGTACAAAGCTAGGGCATTCAGAGGCTGGCCCTTGGTTAATAAAACAACACAAAGATCATAATCTCTTACTGTAGTGAATCTTAAGTATTTTTAGTATTTAGATCAGTTTGATGGCTTCCACAGAAATGGCAAGCTGCTCTCAGAATTGCACCATACACTTGATTCACTGATCAGTCCACACTTCTGCTCTGAGCATCCCTCCATTTGCTAGTAACCCACCATTTGTTAATAGACTGGGAAGGGGCAATGAAGTTGGTTAGCTGGCCTTTATCTGGCAGAAAAGTTTTGGATTGGTTCCTGCATTTCCAGCACTGATTGGTAACTGTAACAAGCCTGGTGACAGACATCAAGACATCATTCAGAGATTAGGGGGAATACAGAGCAGTGTTGCATTGCTTTCACTCTTGAGCTCCTTCCATGTAATATGCAATCCTTTGAATTCTCTGCTGAAGCAGAGTTGGTCTCTGCTATTGCCCTTCATGCCTTTACTCCTTTTTATGGTCACATTCCCAGATCCACTGACCATAGGGATTAGTGTGCAGCATAGACTGGGATAACCATAGCCAACACTCAATGGATCTCCAATTCCAGACTCTTCACTGATAAAACTTTTTGCATCTTTCACACTCTTCTGCTTTAATGGACCACTTTATTTCAGTAGTTATTTTACATATTAACTTTAAAATATAGATGCCAAACATACTGTGTTTTAAAAACAGAAATTTCCAGAACATCTTTGAGAATCTTTTAAATGTTCTTTAGATAATAAATAACTCAGTTCAGGATTTCTTTCTGATAAGGGCACCTCATGTCTTTCTGCAGTTTTCTACTTGAAGAGTCCATCTCAGTAAGGCAAGAAGCAGGACTGGCAAACCATTCTAGAAGTCTACAATTCCAAGTGTTGTAAAAGTAGTCTTCGTGTATTACTATAGCAACCAAAAGTATATTGGTGTCCACTTGTCCTGCCTGGGCTTTCAAGAAAGCGTGAATGATACCTAGTTTAGAGTGCCAGGCAGTAACTGTATGTAGCCCAAGCTGCCACTAATGCTCCCCTCTTGTGTGTGCTTCCAGCGTCGTGTGTGGCCGCAAGAAGCCGTTCTCACAGGCCCTTCTGTTTCTTCACCCCAGAGCCTCGCCCACCCTCAGTGTTGTTCTCCTTTTCTGCCCTTCAGCTCCCATCACTCCCCACTCTTGTCTTCAGAATTCCTCCCCCCACAACACTACTACAAAAACCATTCTTCATGCACTGTTGATTTTGAGTCTATTTGCTCCTAATTACTGCCAGGAAAACAAAACAAAGCAGGCAGTAGCAGTAAATAACAAAATACAGTAAACTCCAAAAGGCTGCAATTCTCACAAAATTCTTAGAATAGTCCACAGGGCTACACTTCTCAATTCCTTAGAGAAAGTAAATTTTCCCCTAGCCCCAATACCACACACACTTTTTCATACCTACCTTTAGACCTAATAAAGTCAAGCTGATGAAATAGATGCCTCCTTTGCTCTAAAGGAAGTTTACACTTCTGGTGACTTCCAAACTGGAGTTTGCCTAGTTTACTCAGTTTCTTATTGAAGACTGGCCCTTCTGGAATTTCTGTGTGTGGAATGACTCCTATCTTGAGAGAGCTGGTAGCATCCTATATTGGGCTAAGCTATTGTTGAAATTGTATGAAACTCTTACCCAACTAATCATAGACCTCTCAGATTCACGCATTCTAAACACATACTGCTTTTTTTTCCTGTATAGGCAAACATACATAAATTAACTATGCCTAACATAAATATATCTATTTCATGAGCTAACATTTTTCTGTGAACTGGGAACTAATAGAATATTCTATGAACTAGTTATATTTTTTACAAAAAGGAATCTGTCTGTTAAATACACATATTTGCAATTACTTGCTTTGTACTGCTTTTGTCATGACAGTCTAACCCAAAATTTTTGAAGAAAGTGTCTAGAGAATAATGATATGGCAAAAAGAGGGTTACTGACAAAATACTTTAACATTTCCTTGTTTCTGGGCCACACACATCCTAGTCAAGATAATAAGTAGGCTTTCTGATTTTTTTAAAATCCCAGTAAACAAAATCTTTCAGAAGAGTCTTTTTATATATATATATTATAACTACATATTTTTTAAACTACACAAATAAGCTTCACATTAAACCAGTGATTCACAAACCTGAGTGTACATCAATCTCCTAGAGAACTTGTTAAAATACTTCTTGCTGTGCCTCACCCCCAGAGTTTCTGATTCAGTAACTATAGGGGGAGTCTGAGAAACTGCATGTCTCCCCAATTCCCAGGTGATGTTAGTGCTGCTGAGCTCCAGACCCAACCTTAAGAACCACTCACTAAACTATATGGCTGCATGAATCCGAAACCCTATTAAAGCCAAAAGTTTTTTACAGTGGTAATTACCTCATGAAATAGTTTTAAGCTTCCATATGTTTAATGTGCCAACCACAGTACTAGTCATGACATTTAAATAAATCAGTGCCTGAATCAACAAATATTTATTGAGTTTGGCAGAGTGCCAAGAGCATTGAGCTGATAGTCATGAAGACCTGCATTCCAATCCCAGCTTTACAGCTATGGTCTGAGTGCCAACACTCAACCATTCTGGACCTGAGTGTCCATATCTGCAGACTGAGGGAGTGAGCAAGATGATCTGTACAGCATCATCCATCTCTAAAAGCACCTGATGATTCTTTGATCCTACTACATAAAAGACTATGACATGCTGAGTAAGTGAAGGAATGGGGAACACAGAGCTTGCTCCTGCTCCTTAGCTGGGGGTCACAAGATAGAGATCTAGGAAAAGGTACTAGCCCAAGCCAAAGGCAAATCCCAAGTAATAGTGTGCTTCAGAATTCCATCCTGGTGTTACGATATTGGGAAGACCACTTCTTCACTCAGGCTCAGACTAAGAGAATTGGGACCTGTTCTGTAATAATATTCAACAGAAGAAATCTCTTCCTCCTCTTCTTTCGTCCCACTTTCCTTTTTCTTCTTTCCTTCCTTCCTTTCCTTTTTTCTTTTCATTCCCTTTTTGATACTTATGTACTGGGCCCCTGGCAAGATAGATGGAATTGCCCTGAGTGAAGACAGGGCAAAGAGCCTGAGACCAAACCCCATGAGCTGAACCGGTTACATTACCTCACCAAGCCTGTTTCTTCATCTGCAGCACTGCTACTGTGAGCCTCATGTGAGCCTTATGAGATAATAGATGTCAAATTTTTAACGAAGGGCCTGCCGCACAGTGAGAAGATGTTACATCTCTGTGTTGTCCCAGAGTACGCAGTGTTACATGATATTAGAAACTTGAAAAATGTAAGAATGAATAATGGCCTTGAAAATGAGAGTAGAGAATGAAGGAGGAATGAAAATGAATGTGAATACTAATGAGGGAACAGACAAAGTGGAGAGAAAAGGAGGAATTTCACTGCAGATTAGAAGGAGAATACCACAGTGATTAAGTTCATGCTCTTGGAGACAGATTGTCTGGATTTGAACCCTGGCTCTGCAATTTACTAGCTCTGTTGTGTGTGATCTTAGGCAAATTATTTAATCATTCTGTCCTCAGTTTCCTCATGTATGAAATGAAAATAATAATTTCTAGGCTATTATGAATATTAAGTGAGCTAAAACCTGTCAAGGCATGCCTAGCACTGTATAAGCACTTAGTAAGTGAAAGCTGCTAGTGTTTAATTTAATTCACTCCCAAGAAGCTCGTTCATGGAACACTAGATGTCATGGAGGAACCACTATTGTCTCCACTGGAAATGCATCAAATGCATTCCTAGGTATGCTTTGCTGAGGACTCCTGCTTTTCTACTATGAAGTTGATACATGTAAAAGTTTAGATCAGATTCACACCCCTTTTAAGACTAACATGAGGGCTTAAAGCTGTGGTTCCCAAATTTTTCTGTACATCAGAATCACTGGAGAGCCTTTAAAATCACTGATGCCCACATTGCACCCTTTATGAACAAAAGCAGAATGTGTGGAGATAGCTGGGGCCAGGCA